TAGATGGATTGCCTTACAGGGCTAGCGAGCTCCATCCGCCCGGGGAGTGTCCTAACCGGGAATCGAACCCAGATCTCAGCATTGACAACGCTGTGGTTTAGCCACTGCACCACCAGGGACACTCAGAGCAGAATATACCAGCAAGGAAAATACTGTTTTAAGATCTCCCTAAGAGACTGTGTTGTGTGTCTGATTTTCGGGTATTCAACCAGATCCTCTCATAAAACTGGCTTCCGGCACAATCATCAAGGGTGTCAGTGCCAGGCCATGACGCTACTGGGAACACATTTTTGCCCTCACAAGAATAAAGTATTTCCTGCCAACAAGTTTGTTTATGGATGTGTCAAACTCAAGAAAAAAGAGGCTTCATGTCTATTGAACCACTCCATCATTCCATTAAGAAAAGAGAGAGGGGAAAATAAAACTGTTAAAGACTCTGGCAGAAAGTATTTATGTTTGGCTGGAACAGGCTCTAAATTAGTGAGCTTAGACCGCAATACCAGAAATTTATTAACCTAGATGTAATTTTTACAGCTCAGAACTTGCAGATAATTTATATTTCTACTAGTTAGCCCAGCTATCATGAAAAAGAAAAGTGATTTCTGCAAAAAGCTGGTAAGATGGGTTTTCATGCTGAACACTACTGTGGGAAATCCTGAGTTGTACTAGAACAAATACATTATGGAACAGTAGATGAAGAACTGCTCCTGCCTTGAATTTCTGGTGATGGGCACTACCAATAAAAACTTGATAAGCTTCACAACACGTTTTTGGATTCCAGATTTGCAGAAAAACCCACATGTGCAGAGAGAAGCCAGCCTATCTCTGTGGATGAGATTGTTCTGCTGCATGGCCATTTGCATACTATGAACAAATAAACGGTTTCAAACTACATCAAAACCCAAACCTTACTATGTCCTGCTGTTTTATTTGCATTTCACTCTGCTTTAATTAACTGAGAAGAACCTGATGATGTAGCAGCAACAGAGGACAGAATGAGAAGGCAGCAGAGGGGAGAGCTGCCAGGCCTTTAGTCTCTGTAAAGACAGGATGAGGAGGGGACAGGAAGCAGGGCTGCTGATTGATATTACATGCTCTGACAAGCAGAAAGACTCAAAAGCAGATGGATTTACACCTCTATCCTTGTATTTGCTGTTCCCTGCACCAGTGTCTACTACCTGGAGAAACAACAGAATTGCTGGATGTGTGCACAAATTGTAACCAGCACTGAAACACTCGTGAACATTGGCATTTCAACACTGCCTCTAAACCACAGAGAGTGATATGCACTTTTTTCGTATCCCCCACAGACACTGGGCAAAATATTTCTATTTTGTATTCTGGTCCTACTTTTTTGGCAGGTGAGGAGGGTACTCAGGGTAGTCAGCAGGATCTCTCCTGGTTCACACATAGTGTCAGGACTTGTTTTCCCATACAGGCAGGAAGAGCATTGAGGGATTGGCACATGCTAAGTGCATGGAATTAAGTTTGCTTCATTCCTAAAGATATCACAACCACCTCAGACCACTCTGCTCTGCAGTAGTACTTGCAGTAAATTTCATCGTGATATTTGAGGGTCCACTTACCCAGAAGAGCAATTAAGAACTCCTGTTATATTTTAGGACAGCTGTGGCTAAACGGGGTGCAGTAAGCTTTCTCCAGGTGCTAGACAGATCTTGAGAGAAAGCTTCAGGGTGAGGAGGACTGAGCATTCAACCTGATCCGGGTTGGCACACTGATTAGGGAGAAAAAAACCCTGTCCACACAGCTTGCGGGAACTGTGCTTGAGCCCCACTGGCAGCAGCAATCGCATTTAGTACAGTTATACTTCCATTACACTGAGAGTCTTCACAATTTATGTACAGTTTAATCCGATTATTTTTCTTCCCCATTTCTGCCTGACAAACTCTACTTGCGAGGCCCCTGGCTGGAAATCCATGCTAATGAAGTTAAGGCCCAGTAGATAAAGCAAAGTTGTTTTCTCTGTGCTGTCAGCAAACCATATTTCACGACTGTACTCATGCCTCTGCTAACTAAGGTCATTGACATCTTCTAGAAATCCAGGAGCAAGCAACAAGAGCAAGAAAAAGCCCCATCTTGAGTGAAGACGGAAAATGCTGGTGGAGCAGCTCACACCAGGGCTGCAAAGTGGGGGTGTGGGGGAGGCCAAAGGCTCTATGTAATGTTTACGTAAATTACCTTTTTGATGGGTTTTATCCACCCACACACAAATGACAGTTTGGATTATTTCAAGTGCAGAATTTTGTTTCCTGCATCATGAAAACTAAGTACTCAGCAACTGCCAGACTGCTAAGCAAATGATATGAAATGCATTGATCCTCCAGTGGTAATGAACTTACATTTTTACATAACGCCTTCCAGGCTTAAGAGACCATAGGCACTCTATGCATTGCACCTATGAAGAAAGCACCTCAGGAATTAAACACCAGCTGCCTGAAAGGACATTGTACCATTACAGAGGGTGCAAACACCAGGAAAGCAAAATATACTCTTCCCAGCCTAAATTCTTAGTAGTGTTTTGGACAAGTTCTAAATATAAGAACCAGATTAGATATTAGACAGCCATTTCTTGGAAAAGGTGGAAAAATACTGAAACAACTACTGAAACAGTGAATGTCTTTGTCATGAAGTTTACCACGTAGCTGGTGCAGCAAAAACTGCTGCACAAACAAATACCTAGCTAATGTATAACTGTACTGAAAGCTTAGGCTTAAATAACCTGGCTGTTGATAAAAGCAGTTTGTCAAGACATCAATTTTCTCTCCTGTTGGAAAGCTAATGCTTCACACAATGTCATTTGTAATTGAACTGTGGCTCCACTTACGTACTCAGGAGGAAAATGGAGCATCTGAGTCATCAAAATGCCTGCAATTCCCACTCCTGTAATTCCTTCCCAACTTCTAACCTGTGACCAACCTTCTTAACCAAAGATCAGACTGCAAATCTTCACTAAAGGTTTTCTATATGTATGCAAGAAAAGTCGTATTTCTTGGCTGAAAACAGTGACTACAGCCATTTTGAGGGTTTGTTTATTTTCTAAAATTCAACTGAATTTTGGAAAACCCAAAGGAGAATGGAGCTGAGCACCATGTGAAGACTTTCACCAGCCAAAGAAAACAGCAAAGGCTCAGAACTAAGCCTTGCCCCAGGCCTACAGGACAAGTGGTGTCTGTGGTGAGGGAAGTTGCTTACCTTCTGAGTGCGTTTGTCAGCTCAGCAGTCAGTTCACTCTCGGTGTATGGTCTCAGCTCAGCAAGAGTTAACGGTGCTGCAGTGCCATCACTGCATTCCTGAGAAATGAGGAAAGGCCATCTAGTTTGAAACTACTTACTATCTTAACTGGAAATTCTGAAAACCACTTAGTTAACAGCTATTTGTAAAATGAATGTGAAATAAACAATATTACGCCAAGCAGCAGTGTATCAACATAGCAAGAAATCAACTAAACGGATTAACACTTCACAAATCCCCCTAAATGTTTCCTAAACCACCACAGCTCACCGATTTGCAGAATTCTCCTAGTGTGCAAAACTACTGGTGATTTCCCTATATTTCTTTCGATACCACACTTGAAACAGAACTGCTGGGATCAAAAAATTCAGATGATGCATTAACAGAAACAAGTAAGAAAGATAGTTATACACTAGCTCTGGATTTTGTTTTTGAACACATTACAGAGGGTTATCTGGGGACACAGCACTAAAATAAGAGGACTACGGTTTTTCCAGGTGTCTATTTCTTAATGCAAATTAATACAGTAAATGCAGAAATCTGTTTATTTTGCATTATGCTAAGGGAAGAAAAGCCTTCATTCTCAAATTATTACAAATTGACTTGGACAAAGAGACTGTCATTACAATGCTCTAACTGCTTCAAAGGAATGAGGGTTATTGTTTTCAAATTTTGTGTTTGAGAGAGGATGGCATTTTGCTTAGACTTCTTTACTTCCACTGTTTCCAGTGAGTGGCAACAGGCAAGACACACGTTCAACCACAGCAACTTGTATGTTGGCAAGACTGGGCTTGTGGTAATCCTCAAAACAACCTTATTTTAGCCCAGGCTTAACAGCAATTCTGCAAAGTCCTCATAAGTCACAGCAGGGAAGGAATCCCTTAACAACTGGAGAAGAGAGAAAAGATCTACATATAGACAAAAAAAGAATGATTAACATGCTAAAGACCGCTACAGGGAGGGGAGTGGTATAATTAATCATGTTTACGACTTAGGAAACTCAGCTTGACTCCTGACCTTGCCCAGCTTGTCTTTGCTTCCACTGCTGGTTGAGCTAAGAGACCTCATCCTCTGCTCCTTTTGTTCTTCCACTTCAGACTTCAAGTGCTCAATGTGGACGAGGTAGGCCTGCTCCTGGGCCTCTCGAGTGCTCAGTTTCAATTCCAATGCCTTCTTTTCCTTCTCTAACAGGTAAAGCCGTGCCTTGAGCTCTGCCATCTCCTCCTGTTGAAGAAACATTATCAGCATGCTGACTCATGGGACTACATACCTAAGAGAAGAAGTAGTTAAACAAGATTTTCATCCACTCCTATAACCTAGTGTTCTTTGCATGGAGAACACTATCAGCACCCACATGACCAAGCATATTTGTCAAAAGACTAGTACATATTGAGTTTGAGTATGACAAGCTGTGCCACCTCTGTAACAGCCTCAGAAATAAGCTCATAGCAGCTATTTTGGTGCTATCAAGGACTATCAAGGATCTGAGAGAATAGCCACAGGTGCTGAAATTTCTTTGGTTCCGCTTTGCGCTTCAGAAATCACTGTCTTAAAACCAGGAGTGTATTACTTTCCTGTCAAAAACCTCCCTAAATTCCAGATTTCAGTTTCTTATTGATACATAAGAATTTGTCTCATTAAAGTGGAAGGAATTTGAGGGACTAGGACAGCACACACAGGTCACATATTCCCAACCCTGCAATACCAGCCTCTGTGGTAGAATGAGTTAAGTCAAAAAGGGCACCATCAGATTGTCCATTTTTAATTTCTCTTCTCTAGATAGCCAGAATACCCAAACATACACAACTTGAGTTTGACAAAATTGCACTCAGTTATATTTTTCCACAAATATGATCCACAGGGGATGGACACTGGTACTTCACAGAGAGAAGCTCAATTCTGAGAGCTCATTCTCGTGTGCAATTCTTCTACCACTCTGATGGTTATGACAGGGCTGTCACCTACTGTAACACAACAACTGCTATTTGGGGACAGACCTCTGTTTTAACATCTATGTGACAGTGGCTGGGGAGATGCTTAAGAGCAGGGCATGAGTGCAATGACCCTTCTTTTGGCACACGGTCCCAGCCTCCCATGTAAAGCAGCTGATGGATATCCTGAACCAGAAGGATCTTTGCGTTTAAAAACACTTCAGAAAAGTTTCTTCTAAAAAATGCCTAGTTATTTTCTGAACCAAGAAAAAAACAGTATCCACTAAAGCTTTAAAGAGATAGGACTAAAATATAATTTACATTATGTGCTAAACAACACCATCAAACAAACAGAAGACTGCCAAAAACAGAAAACGACCCCAATCTAGAATCATGTTCTCACTGCTGAGCTTGCCTTGTCCTAGGTCTCCTCGTGGATGACTACCGAGTTAATGCACATGTTTTCTGTATTATCATTCAGTTCTAGACTTGTTCACTGTGTAAACTACTTCTGAAAAATAGAAGTTTCTTGTTCTGTGGTCAGCCTAGGAACAAGCCATTTTTTCTAATTTTTTTAAAACAAACAAAAAAATATTCTAATAAAAAAAATCAGAGGTATCTTACCTTGTCCTTCAAAAATAATGCTCTTTGTCTTTTAGCTATTATTAACAAACACTAATTTAGACTAACTTTTCATGTTGAAGAGAATTTACATCGCCACCAAAAATTTGCTGCCTGGATTAAGTCTAAGCAGTGCACACAGGTGTATCCCAGTTATAACCATCAGCTTATTCAGAATCACCAACAACGTAAAAGTAAAATCCATACCTTAAAAACCCTGGGGCTTTGAAAGGTTTGTATGAGCTTTAAAGTCATTGGTTTATTGTTGTGAACTGAAGGCTAGAAGCACAACCAGTTTCATTCCATGTGGTTTACATAAATTTAATTGTAAGGCAAACATCATTAATTTCCTTTGTCAACAGTAAATACATAAATAATACTGATAAATAATGATAGGGATATTTAGTTACAGGAGTAACTAAACTGGATGATCTGATATACTCAAGTGTATGAATTAAGCTTCTTAAGCCTCTATTTCTAATGCCATTAATCTACTTAGCCTGCTTAGTGAAGGCCAAGAAGTAATTTGAACAGAGTATTTTGACACTTACATTAATAAAAGATACTCTTAATAGAGGGCTATTTATATGGGATGATGGTTATGACAGATGTTCCCTGGCTGGAAGCTGAAACTAGGCAAATTCAGCCTAAAAATGAGAGACATCTATTTCCTAAAATAAAAAATTGAATTTAACCACTACAACAATGAATCTGTGGAATTGATATTTCTCACCACCTAGAATTTTTAACTTATTTTAAGCTATTTGAAGTTATTTTAATTTTAACATATTCAAGCTCAAAATAAATTTGAGGATTAACGGTTAACTCCTTTGTTTATGAAGACAGTACGTTTAAATCATCACATATGACTTCACCAGTTTGCACTCTGTTCCAGAAGACATATTGTGCACTTCCCATATGTTTAGTTTTGTCATGTCAAAACAATGTGACTTGGAAGAAAAGAAGCAAAGACAAAGCAGAGGAAAAAGCAGGGGAAAAGTGGAAAAACTGTCAGCCAGTGTCTTACAGAGGTTTGCAGGGAAGGAACAGGAAGGAAAGGTTGAAGTTGAAAATTAAAACTGCAGGCAGTTGAGGACAGTGGTATGGACACATACAATCTGTGAGGCAGGGTGGCAACAGCCACCTCTTATATGGGAAAATTCAAGGAGTTCAGGTTTAGTTAGAGAATTAGTCTTCACATGTGCAGCAATTTTTCCCATGAAAATATGTTTTCTAAAGATAGCATCTAAATTTAACTTGTTAAAATGTGATCTTTGTATATTTACTATACCCCTTTTCTTCTAATTACACGTTGCTGTGAAACATCTTGCAGTTTAACACATCTGATTCTTCAGAGTATGTGCCTAAAGCAAGAGTGGCATTTACAAAATGAAACCATGAAGGAGCAGGTAGCAAGTGGTCACTCTTCCAGATGATTGTAGAACACTTAAACAACCCATGCAAATTCACAAGCTTCAACTATAGTAGTTATTTCAGGACTAATTAATTGAATATTGAGGAATATTTTGTACTTGCGGTTATATCGTAATTCTGAATTTGGGTGAAAACTTGAATGAAAATTAAAAGCTTTTGACTCAATATAATCAGAAACACCATGGAACTTTCAAAATCAACATTTGTATTGGATGTGGTCATGTCAGAAGAATAAAACAGCAAAGAACTCTAACGTGGCAAGAAGTTCTAAAAGTCATAAAAAGGACCCTAGGACGATCACAGTACCCAAAGTGGCATCTGCCAGCCTTCAGAGGTAAAACAAACATCAGAGCAGATAAATGTCATGCTCTAGTTAACTGTATTTTACTATATAAATCTATAAGGGCGTGAACTGCTGTAACAAAGGTGAACAACGGGATTCTTAACATTTTCCACAGAGATTGTAGTCTGAAAGCACATTATGAGCAACATTATCAACACCTGTACACAAAGGCGGAAAAATAACCAGTGTAGAAAGCTGAGACTTCTTATCTAGATTAAGTCCTTTGAAATGCAGAAATGCTGTAAACCAAGGATTATTTACAGCCATAAGAAGTAATCTCCTTGCTAACTGGGGCATGACAACAACTGACCTCAAAGCAAGACCACTGAATGATGACAAACCACAGACCAGAATATATTTGGAAACATGGTTAATTATTGCTTGAAGCAAAGAATTGGATTTTACAGAAGTACTGGCAGACCACTGTGTCTTACATTCTGGACCAGTAAAAAAAAACCAAACACGACAACAGAGAAACTACTCTCAAACTATCTTTTTAATCAATAACGAAGAGCTACTGGTGTAAAGGCATTTTCAGACTGATGTAGAGATCAGTTTTTACCAGGAGTCATAAATGGAAGGTGCCAAAAGATGCAGCAGAGACTCCAATACAGATACAAATTTTGGGAAGACAGCATGGATCTTAAGACCCAGCAGTGCAGGGAATTATTGAGTAGCTCAGTCCAGCTGTATCATCCTTGCTAAGAATGTGCAAGGGAGGGAAAAAATTAAAGCTGATACACAATGAAGTCTTCTGCAGCACGGATGAGTCCATCTGCTTCAAGTTAAATGAAATACCATAAGGAAATTTAAATCCTCCATTTGTCTCAGAAGTATGCAGATGCATATGCTATTCTGTATGAGGTACATATTTCAAATAACAGACACAAAAAACATACTCAGAAAGCCAGTACATCCATGAGTCCTGACATTAGGTTCAACTATGTTATATTTTGCTAAACATACGAGCGAGGTGTAATGTAGACCTGAGCAACAATCATGGATGCTAAAAAGGTAACATATTCTCTGGCAAACAAAGCACAGAGAGTGTAGCTGTGCCTTTTCAATGCTTTATGCAGAGAAGAAAGGCAGGAGTTTTCAATTTCTGAGCAGAAGATCACGAACCAACAAATGCATTCCAAGCTTTGACAAACTTGAGTTCTCATGATGTCTCTTTCAGAATCCTAAGGTGTTCCTGCACTGTGTATTCCAGCAAAGTACAAGAAATTACAATGAATAACAGTACTGTCAGTTTCTCTGTACTGGAAAATACTGAAGGTGACTTCAGCCTCCTATGTTAAATGTGGATCTATTCTGTTTGCAATGCACACAACCAAGAAGAAAGATTTCTTCTTCCAGGGGCAATTCCTGCAGTGAAAACCCAGTGTGATAGGTCCAACCAAAAGTTATGAATGGATGCCATATGTCAAAAACAAGTTAGAAGATTGTTTGAGTGAACAAAAGGGCTACTAGCACTCCAAACTGTATCAGAAATTATGATATGCAACTGCTGGTGTTTCTGCCACGGAATGCAAGGCCACTAATCACAAGGGATAGCTCTGCAGTTTGTCTTCACAAATCAATTTAAAGATAGAGGTAAGAATGGTGTACAAGTAGATTTCAGGGAAGATCTGGACACAGAAGAGGAGAAGGAAGTGTGATATCTGCAATACACATGTAATTATCTACATGTCTTCCAGTACATCTTGCATGTTTTGGTTATGGGGAGTATCTTGCTGTGGCCACAACATATTCAAACAAGTAACATAACTTTAAATCTTCTGACAGGTAACAAGTGATCTTTCCTCTGAACTGCAAATAATGAATGCATTATTGCAAAATTGTATTTGTTATCATGGAAACGCAGTACCACTAAGAATAAAAATCTATAGCTTTAGAAGTTCATGAAAATATTAGGATTTGCTGCCCCACTTGATACCATCACCTGACATGTCTGCCATTACTTGATTAAAATATTACTTGCTAAAATGCAGAAATTAAATTTAATTAAACTTATCCAAACCAGACAAGTTCTGAATGCATACATACAGAATTGCTTACTTGTATTGCGTTTGATATGTTCCTATGTTTTAGTTCATCTCTCAAAGTCAATACAGGAGACAGACTTAAAATGATACCAGCTCTATTCCTGGTCAACAGAAGTCAGTTTTTCTAGATCACATCTTTAGAATCGGACATATAAACCAGAGCTTTCTCCAAAACCCTGTAACTGAAGTGATTACATATCCTACTCTTTGCTCAGACTTTGAGCTACAGATTGCAACACAGTGCCTAGAACAGATCAGGACTTATGACCAACTGCCAGAGAGCATTAGGGGTGACACCTTCTGACAGACCATTCTTCCTCCCACAGCTATATTAAAGGGAGGTGAATTTGTTCTGCTTCAGTTCACAAATATTCATGATGCCCATTTGCAAGCTTGTAAGTGAAGTAATGAACTGTCTCTTGGGAAGTGCTGTATCATGTTTTTGGTCACCCCTGAGAAACTCAGCTGCCATATCTCTTCAACAGAGCATCTGGTTTGCCAAGGAGAGCATTCCAAGTTTAGATCCACAGATGAAGTTCCTGCCTAATTCAAAACACACATAGCTCATCACTGTTAATGCACTGCCTTCTGTCACTGCATGACTACTCGATGACTGAGCATGTTCTGGAGCACAGGGGTGCTGTCAGCAATGCATTTAGCCTCCTGGTTATAAGTAAAATACCTTCATTGCCATAAGTTCCTGCATCAGGACTGCATTTTCCAGGTCTAGCCTCTGGCTGTCTCCACGCGGCTTAACGTCATAACTAAGGGGATCAATGTGGATGCTTTCCAGCTCCAGCATTGTCAGTTTCACTGCTGCCCTGTCATTTTTCAACTGCTGGATGTAATCCTTCAGCCGCTGCTCATCCTCCTTTGTAAATTCCGTATCACAGCTGCTTGCAGTTGAGCTGGTAGTACTGGAAAGAGAGAGCACGGTATTAGAAAAAAACAACATTTGGAACAAAATCTCAATTTTTACATCAAACACTATCCCAATACTTCACCACAACATCTCAGTCTTAAAAGTTCACAGAAAGGACACACGTAGTAGCACGGACTGGACATTGCAATGTTCAGAAGATGCAAAGGGGTGTGACAAATTCAAAAAATTAATTCTCTAAGCTCCATGAGAAAATTGAATCATGCGACAATTCTCTACAAAGCCAGATATTTAGTGATGTGGAACCGAATTACTTTTTCTGAAACAGTGTCTTCAGGAAAAAGCCCTTTTTTAAATTTAAGAAAAAAAAAAAAAAAAAACAACACGCTTCTTAAGATTTCTTAGCAATAACCTAGCACAGCAAGCTTCTCTCTGGTGCTCTGATAATGTGTCTTCATCTTCTTGGGGAAGAAATATCTGCTAAAAAAAAAAGAATCAGCCCAGACCTGATTTACTTCTGCTGATGGCCAGTTATCACCTCAGATATTTTAACAGATACTTTCAGAAATCAACCTGAGCAAAATTCCACTGGCAGATGCCAGGAGATAGCATCTTTCAGTTCATTTTAAGGTGTACTCCTCAGTATACTGGCATTCCTTCAGGGCTGGAGGATTTTAAAGCCAACCCACAGTTAGGAGGAATTTTAATGAAAAGTCATAATAAAAGGCTTGGTGAATCCTCTCCTGTCTACAGGCACAAAAAAATGTCGGCCCATTACTCTGCCCCACAGATGTTTACGCAGAGATTGCAGAAAGGGAGGATAATGGTGCTAAGAATTAAAGCAGTGTTGGCTCAGTGCTGCCCACCCACCTACATGCATGCCAGTGCTGCAGGGGGCTGAGACTGATACAGCTGTAGCATTCCAGGGCTGAATATAGCTGCAATAACACTAAAAGGAAAAAAAAAATGCCATGTTGTTTCACTCAAAGCTGCCTGCTGTCTCCTGAGGTCCTGTAATCAGCTGCCGGGTGAGGGATAAGTCATCCATTAACCGTGCCTGTCTGGAATGCTAGATGATCTCAGTTATCAGCAGGGGAATAAATCACTTTCTGTATCAAATTGCACTGCTGTTCAACATTTTTGTACTATGAAAAAAAGTCCCACCCACCACATGCTGTGAGATCCAGGGTGATGTCCTAAAATACTGTGAGTGTGAAAAAGGGGGAAGCCTATCAAGATAGTCTTGATTTTTCTCTTTTGGTTGTACTTTAGCTAATGCCATATTGTTTTTAAAGTGCTTCAAATAACTGCCAATCTTCCTGCAAATTCCAAGCACAGCCTTGGAGAAGATGGAGAATCGGCAGGTCTAAAAAGATTTCTCAAAATCCTTCCCCCTCATGAAATATCGCATTACAGCTCTTTACAACAGTTCCCTGTCAATTTCACATAATTCCTTCCTTTTCTGAGGGATAAGAGGTGCCTGCCATAGCTGCCACAACTGTAAATTGGTCTTTGCTTTTGTTTTCATCTGTTTCCATTAGCAGTGAAGCTAAAAGTGCTCTGTACCTACCTGCTTTACTGAACCTGAGGATATCTCACTGAAGTAGATATTGATACAAAAATTACGAGGATAGATTATGTGAAAAATACGTAATTCTAGACTGAAGTCACGTTGCAAGTTTCCTCAGCACCAAAAGACAGCAATTGCACAGCTTTTCTGGATTAAATGTAAAACAGCTGTTGCTGGAGTAAGGACAGCTTTTAAAATCTACACAGGCTTCAAATCTCAGAGCACAAAGACCTCACCTCAGTTTTTGCTTGCAAAGGATAGAAAACTTAGCTCTCCTGCTGAGGATGAAACCTGAGCAGAAAAATGCTGGAAGTCTATCGTTATGTTGAGCTTGACCTCATACTCACTGCATAGTCTCAGATTTTGGCCCTTAAAGACCCACAGCTATGCACATATATTTTAGGGGAGTGCAGTCCAATCTGAGGAAAGCAGTCTGGGCTGTTGCCAGGGATACTCAGGCTGCTTTTACTTCAGTCCTGGCTGCCTGCCTGCCTGCCTGCCTGCCTGTCTGCAGCCGAGTTGGCTCCTCTGGTGAATTGCTAGCAAGATGCTCTTCTTTTTATTTTTGTTTCCTTTTTTCTTTTTTTTTTTTTTTAAGAAGCTGAGGGGAGCTTAGCGAGGAACTTGTCTCAGCCAGCACACAAAGGGGTTAGAACCCTCCCTCTGCCCCACAGCATTTAGCAGCAAGCCCCCATCCAGAAGACTCGGAGCAGCTGGGCACAAAGCCCACTGTGGGCTGTTGTAAAAAGAGGCTGCACGATGAGGGACAGAAACGACACTGCGGTGTTTCTGATCTCGGATGGCAGCTCTTCCAGGGTTTGTTCCCCCAAAAGCCCCACCACACAGCTCTCCACAGCCACAATGTTAGTCCACTGCTGCTCTGCTTAAGGGATGATAGCTGGTGCACATATCATCCTGAATTTCAGATATTACTCTCCCTTCTGACAGCAATCAGGACAAAAGAAAACCTTTATAGGATAATGCATCCATCCAAAAACCACAGGAAACTGTTGAAAAAGATATGCAGTTTCTCATGTCTCCAGTGTGTAGGTAAGGACAGAGAAAGGATCACAATTTCATCACAGCTGGAGGGAATACAACATCAATCTGCTCACTCTAACTGCTATTGTATTCAGAACAAGCAAAGAGAAATACTCTTCACACTTGCTTCATCCCTCGAGTCTTTTACAATGATGTCATGCCTGGGTGATGTCAAATTAATTTTCATATACAATTTATGGAAAATATGTGGGCTGGTATAGCATAATGTGCAGTCTTATTTGCTGGCATGCGTCTGTGTGTATAAAATGCAGTGGATGGATACAAAGAAAGCTTTCAACAGTGCTTGTCTGTGAGTAATTTCTGTGCACTACAAAAATTTGTCCATAAATCCATATATGAGCATCATTTTATCTGTTAAAAATCAAGTCAATAAATAAATAAGCAATTCAGCAATTGAGTGGATAATACAAAAGTTGACAGAACTAAGATACATTAAAGATAACAAAATTGCTTGAATGCCTGCACACAACCTAACACTTTAAAGAAAGCACTTGGTACAGAGTATATACGTTGCTTGAGATCTGGAACAGCACAATGCCAAAAGATATTAACTACCTGAGAAACCAACAAATATTTCAACCAGGTAAATGGCAAACAACAGTCTACTTGTCTAGAATTATAACCTTTGGTAAACTACCCTGCTTCCTTCTGAGACTGCTTCAGTGCAGCAACCAAGTGTTGAACAGATAACACTGAGATATCTCTTTGGATATTTCTAAAGTACTTATTTGCACTCTTCAGCCAAGATAATCTTGTCTGTTAGTGTCTTATCTGAAATTTGAGATAATTCTGATGAGAGATATATTCCTACACCTGAGCGAGTGCAGACATTCTGTGACACTGCATAATACTGAAAAGAACTGCCTTTGCATATAAGAGATCAGACCTCTCCCTCCCTGAATCCAGTTGTAAGCTTGGGCTTGCAAGTGTAGCAGAGAATAAAATACATCTTTTTCAGTCAGTGTTACAACTGGACTCCTTCTCTTTTGCTTCCTTTGAAAGGTGCAATCAGTTAAACCTTGTTGGCAATATATGTTCTATAGTTAGCTTCTGTCCATTTAAAATAATTACGACTTCCAACTACACTGCAAACTGATTTCTATTTTCAAAAACTGAATTGGCAACATTATTGTAGTGCTGCTGCAGGTCTAATGAATTTAGATGCTCTTTCATTGCATATAATTTATTTTCATTTCAGTTGCTCCCTTTTACAGTCTTTAACCACTTGCCACTACTGGCTCACCAAATGTTTGTTGTCAGTAATGTGTTCAGTGATTTGACATTCAGAATCTAATTTGGAATTTCAAAGCTCAAGATGGGTCAACAATTTCACTGTAAATCCATAGTCCACAGGATTTCCAACAACAAGAAGAATTACTCATTTGCCACAATTCTCAACAAAGGATAGTTTTCAACATCAACAACATGGCAAAAAATCGGTTTTGCAGACTCAAAGTATGTTTGAATCACGTGTTGTAAAAATATTTTCCTTTCAGTACAGTGGTCCCCAAATGGTGGTTCACACAGCACTCACTGGTGATGTCAGTTTATTCAACTCCCCAGTTTTATAGAAATTCATAGAATCACAGAATATCCTGAGCTGGAAGAGACCCACAAGGATCATCAAAGTCCAACATTTAGCCCTGCACACAACAGCCCCAAGAATCACACCATGTGCCTGATAGCATTGTCTAAACTCTTCTTGAACTCTGTCAGGCTTGGTGCTCTGACCACTGTCCTGGGGAGCCTGTTCCAGTGCCCAACCACACTCTGAGTGAAAAACATGGGTAGAGTTCTTTAAGACAAATAAAATCATTAAGCCTCCAGGAACAGCTAGAAATCCACAGTCTGCTTTGCTATCTCTGCTTAGATTGCACTGTAATAAAAATGTAAAGGAAATGGAAACCACGAGCATCAAAGAACCATGGAGCGCTGGAGGTCCGTGGCAACAGATGTCTGGAGTAACAGAGAGCTGAGTGACAAGAGAGCACACGTGAATGAGTTGAGAGAGCTGGTGTCACAGGCAGGATAACTCCAAAAAGTAGAAGTAGGAGCCTGAAGAGAAACAAGAAGGATCCAGAATGACAGGGAGAGGAAACTTAAAGACAAAATCTTCAATTTTTTAAACTTGAGATATTTACTGACAGAGATCTGAACAGAAGGAAAGAGGATTTGTATTTTTTGGAGAAGCTGAAGTTTCAAAAACATTATCACTGATACATGTATGTTTAGGTCAAGACAAAATTACATTTGGCATGGCAGGAGGGAAGAGGGACAACAATGTATAAGTGATGATCAGTTCAGGGTGGCCATATGACAAATTCCTAACTTCTGTGTACCCTTTGGGTGAGTAACAGAAGCTTTTCTGTGTTATGTTCCACATATATCAAACCAGATAATAAGAGTTACCTTATTCAGTACAGTACCCTGCTCCATGCCAGAAAAAAATAGCCTACAATGATAATGGCTCAAGCTAAAACGTCTCTCTTGTGCACACGAACGTTTACACTCATATTTTTACATTTCAAGACATAATTTATAGTGATGAAATTTGAAATCCTATGCCACTTTAAACATACTCTGATGAAACTTTAACTCCTCAGTCCACATGTTACATGTAAATATACACGCAGTGCCAGCTGGCCACCAAATGTTCATGGTGAACAATGTGCACAGACACAAATACAGATACATCCCTCTCTTATCCTCCCCCTCAAACCCCCCAAATTATGTTAAAGAAAGCAAGGACTATAGAGACCATATTCCTACCAAACACTGGCAGTGAAAGACTAAGAAAGCAAATACTAGAAGAGGAACAACCCCTCCTTGCCCATAATTCTCTCCTGTCAATACCAAAAATTATCTACACTGTTTTTCAAGAAAAAAAATTATGCTTTGACTACATGCAAGATATGTCACGAGGAAGAAAAATACCAAGGTAGTTATGGACAACCAAAAATGGCCCTTTCAAACAGTAGAATGGAAAACAAGCTCAGCTTAGGTGGAGATGTTACTACATGTAGCCACATACACCACATTCACATACAGGTGTAGATATGGCATAAAACATGGCAAGTCAAGCACTTGGAACAGCTTTTTGTAATTTTTTTCCAAGGTTAGTAATTTCTACATAAAGATACAGCCTTCTTGGACTGAAAGTGCACCACAAAACTTCTCTGAATAAAACATTAAAATTTACCTCACACTAGGACCCTGTTCCCTCAGATTACCTTTTGCTCACTTTTTAGCTATTCCATGCCAGTCATATGGCAGGAAATTAGAACCTTTGGAGGAGGCATCAGAAAGAAAAGGAAATGATATAGTACTAAAATAAACTTCTGAAGTGTCAAAAAAATGACAGCATTTGAATAAAGAACTGGCTCAAAAACTGAATTAAAATGAAGTTTTAGAGTGAATCTAAGAAACCAAAATAACGCTTCAAAGGAAAAATGTTCATCTATATTTATCCAGGATGCTTGCCAAATTTGTATCCATACACAAGCACACAGAGTACAATTACACCACTGGCAGGCAAAAACTTAAAATGAAGCTGCTGGAAGATATATTTGAACCGGAACACTTCTGCAATAATAGCTCATCCAAGTTTAATTATTTTATAGGTCTTCAGAGGAACTGCAACATTCAGTCTTTCCAGGAGGGACTCACTCTGTTCCACTCCACGTGTGAAAAGAACAGCATGGGAAGGAATAATTTGGAGGGGGGTAAAGAGTAATGAGAAGGAAGAGGAAACAGTTTAAAACAAAATGGGTAAACTTGCAACATTAAAAAAAAACAATTCTTGAGCACTCCAAAATGCTAGTGGAAGCATACCTCAGGTCTCTGGTTCTCTGTATGTCCGTGCTGTCTGCATACAATAGATATGAGTAAGAAGTACCAGATTTGAATTCCAATCAAACAGCCACAAAGTCAGTGAAGTAAAACAAACGTAATGGTTTTGACCTTTATGAGGAAGATCAAAGTCCAGAGTCATCCACTTGCAACAAATTTACACAAAACCCTTCTTGTCTGGAGTTGCTCAAAGTCTAAAGATAATCAGACCACTGAGGCATGGTGACTTACAAATCAAAGCATAGAAAGCATAGAGGGACTGAGGTGAGGGAGGCAGATCAGCAAACACAATACAACATAACTTCTGGTCTGAAATCAAACACTTGGGGACTAGGAGAGCAGAGGAGCTGCAGTTACCTTGTGTGGCTGTTGGATGAGAGGCTCTCCCAGGGCTGCACGCTGCAGCCAGTGACTGCATAGGCTCCCCCGCAGCTCCCATCTAGTTTCATCAGCAAGGCTTTTGCTGCGTTCTCAGCTGTCTTCCTGCAGTCATGAGCTCTCTTAAGCATCTGTGTGATGTTTTCATCACCTGTCTGGTCCCCTAGTTTTCAAGCAAAAAAATCTGTTTCAGAGCTTTGGGGAAGGTGAGAGAAGTCAAAATAAGAATTCTACACACTCTTAGTTTATACTAAAACTATAAAAACACATTACCAGTATGTGAGGTAGAAGCAACTTCACTTCTGTGGTAAGTGGGCTACCAAGCTGGAATGCACCTCTGTCCGAGTCACAAGCTCCAGCTATTTGCTGTTCCCTGCACATGTCTTAAATGATGTATTATTTTAGCCAGCTTGTCTGTTTCAAGGGTGTGCACCGTGCATTAAGATTAGGCTCAGATGCTCAAATTATTAACACACTGAAAAAGCCTCAGACTAAATGATAACTCTCCCTCCAATCAGTCCAGTGCTGTTCCACAGGGTGGCTATTTCCAGGGCTTCTTCTCAAAAGCACCTTGACCTCAAGCCTAATGGTTTGCCAGAACACTTTTGTACAGGTTACCTTGCCAGCTGGAAGAATGGCCTTACTGCCTAAAAGCATCCTTTCAGTGTTTACAGCCATGCATACTAAGCCAAAAGAAAACTAGCACTGGTGTTTATTAATTTGTTATAATTTCCATCTGTGCAGCTGGTAAGACATCCCTTCAGCAGAAGCAGGACTGAAACCACCGTCACTACTCCTACAGTCCTCCAGCTGCAGTTAAGTCATTAAAGTATGACACAGAAAATCTACAAATATATTTATAAATTAATGCTACAATATATTCATATTTTACCAAACAGAATCCAAATACGTCAGAGATTAAAAAAAAAAAAAAAAACAAAACCACTTTGCTCTAAGTCAGATTTTAATTTCATCCTTGTTTGTCCATATGTTCATCCATACTTCACACTTGCTAAGTGAAGTGCCTGCACTAGAAAGAACATTAATGAGGAAGAAAGGAAGGGCGAATGTTAAGAGCAGTTGGACATGCTCGGATCTAAGTGATGCAACTCCCATGAATTTTTCACTCCACAGACGTTGATATAAAACATGACTGATCTTCAAACCAAAAATCTGTTATTTTATCTAGGTGTGTTAATCAAATTTCATGGTGAAGTAAAGGTACAAAAAGCATACACAACTTCCTCCAAGCTGTGTTATGTAATGGGAAATTTGCACTGTTTCTTTCTCAGGGCTGTAACTGGTAATACCATAATTAAGAGCTGTAGACATACACCTACACAAAAACTAAACTACAGTCTCTTTCATAAAATGCATGTCAGATGAAACCCTACTGAAACCCAAAGTATTTCTCCCCTCAAAAATTTCTTTTTGCCTTTTAAATGAACAGAAAACCCAAGACTAAACTTGCTTTTGCTGCTCACTGACCTCTACCAGCAGGGAAAAGACCCCCAGTGCACTGTGAAAAAGAATGACCAGAGCGCAGAAGAAAAGTGGAAGAAAATCTCAGACATCCCCTTTACTTTTTGGTGCACTGTACACGCTGCACAGGTGAAACAGGTACACAAAGGCCTGCACTGAGCACTGGGGGAGATACAAAATAAGGGGCATGGAGAGCAACACAGCGATTGCAGGCTGAGTGCATCCAGTCATCTGAAACAAGAGGCTGACAATGTCAGTCCTGTGGCTCTAAAACCAGACAGTCACTCTATCTCCAAAAGTTTTCCATTTACATTTCAGTGATTCCTCAGAAGCTACTGCCATTAATACACTGGGTAATTACTATGCCTCATCACAACATGAAGGGTTATTCTTGTCCCTCTAAAGGTTTCCCTTCTTTCTGCTTTAAGATTGTTGTGGCTGCTTTCTCCTATCAAAGGAAGGAATAAGACTATGACATTCAGATTTAACTTTCATCATGTAAACACGTCTTTCTATCAGAAAAGTGCAGCCAACAGCAATGTCAAGCTCCACACACTTCTGAACTGTACTGTACCTATGATTGTGGCTTGTTTCATTTCTTAGCAAGCAGCATATTAAAAAACAACACTTAGCCACATGATCAACTAACAACAAAATAAGAGAAATCCAGAACATACGGGCTAATATTCCTGACAGTAGAGTAAAACAGAAGATAGAACATTTAAAAATTTCAGAGCAAAGGTAAAACTGGGGAGGCTGTGAAAAAATTACAGCTTTTTAAATTTTTATTTGTAATTACTCACTGCTACCATGGCATTGTCTTAATCCTATTTTTTCATGAACTATACTCAGTTTCTTGGGGGTCAGTCTTACTGGTTCAAACAGAATCGGCACTTGCAGTTACCACAGCTGTGTGGCCCTAAGGCACGTATGGTCACAAGTATTGTTTAATTATCCAATTCTGTAGAGTTGCATGCCTGTAGCAGACTCAGCCCTGCACGGTATCCCCTTGTGATACCATCCACTGGTGAATTTAAATTGCTCTCTTTTCCTTTCTTCTTGTTTTTGGAGGGTGTAAAATAATGTAATTAGTTAAAAACAAGAAAAGACCAGAGAGCATTCTTAAGTAATGGGTCATAAGATGAGTCACCACTGCAACCAACTCTAATGCTAACTGACATGCAAAAAAAAAATTTAAATGAAGTGATTCATTGACATCTTACCAACAGAACCAACACCCGCAGCTCTGAACTGCCCAAGAATGAGACTCTGCTCACTTTCTGCCAATGCCAACAGCAGTTCATATGCTTCTATGCACTGTTCACTGAAAGAGAAAACAAATCACAGAAAATAAAAAAATCACACAAAATATCACCTGTGGTTTAGAGGGGAAGAATACCTGCAAGAGCAACAACAACAACAAAAGAAGAATGTATGATTCCCTACTACTTGTCCTACAGCAGGGATATTAGATAACATAATACATATATCTTCTATCACAGCCATTCAACATTCTCTCCTTCCTTTTGACAGTGCCAGTTGACCTCAAGTACTGCAACAAGATAAAAGGGAAGAGAATGACCTGATGTGAAGGAAGTTCTAGAAGCATGTTTGAAACACCAATACAAATGGTGATCAACAGGATCCCTTTGAGAAATTATACAAAATACACTATTCTATACTCTACAAAATAACTGCAGTATACAGACTGTAGTAAGAAGTAAAGAAGATACATGAAAAATACTTCTTGATCTGTCCTGGCTGCAAGATTTTCTTTCTTACAACAAAACAGTTTCCAACTACAGTTGTGAGTCAGTCATTCATTCATGCTGCATTCTAACATTTTTTTTGAAAAAATATATACTAGTACACCTATTTCCAATTTACATCTCCTTGTAATTTGCTCAAGGCAGTTGGTAAGAAAACACATTTTTTCAAAGGCACACAATTTGTCTTAAGACAAGAACTGCCTGTTTCAAATTAGCTGTAATTGAAGGTGTTAAATGACACCACCTTTTACATACAGTTTGAAGCAAATTTAGATATTTATTACCAAATACTAAGCAATTAATCCACAATTCCAACTGATGTAATACAAAGTCATTCTGAATTATGTGAAGTACAATACTATTGTTTGGCCCACTGGTTTGGTGAAAGGTGCCTAATACAGAGAACCTGTATCTTAAGACCGTATTCAGTAGAGAGAGTCTGAGCCTACACACAATCCCTAATTCAAATGTTAATTCAGTATTTAAAAATGAAGAGATAAATCTGCATATTCGTTTTACATGCTGGAGAACTAGACTTGAAATACAGTGTATCAGTAACTTCAGTTCAGTAGTACTAGTTTAACCAAAGGGACTTTTTCTCAGGAAGGAAACAAAGACAGTATTACTATGGCACACTAACAACTTCACTCTCAAAAGCTTCTGTTAAGTTTCGCCTTGGCTCCCTCTTTTTCTGAGATACCCTCTGTGTAGGCACATACCTGTACTGCAACGCCAGCCTGAGGGCCGTGGCGTTGGACTCGTACTTCCCAACAAGCATGCTCATCCTCTCAGCATTGCTCTTGCACTCTTCCAGTGTTATTGTCAGTAAGTCATTCTGGGATTTCAAGTGTTCAATACGGCTGTAGAAAAAGAAGTAATTTGCTACCTTCAAGCTTAACTTGCAGTCATTGCTCTGAAAACTCTAGAACAACCATAATTTAAAACAACAAAAATCATTTGGTATACAGACTTCCTTTTTTTTTTTTTTTTTTTTTTTTAAAGGAAGATGGTAAACTCCATCAGTTCTGTATCCCTTTATCAAGAGCCAAGAGGACAGAAATTTCTCTTAGTACAGCCTCTTCTTCTTCTCACCTTCCCATAAAGCATAATCACAACCCTGTGCAACAGCAGCAAGCATAAAGTTATATCCTATTTTGTTACGGTGAAAGACTGCATAGGACAGTTTCATATTAACCTTTCACTCCATTTTTCTGCCTCAATTCCTCACTTCCTGCTGCCACATTTGCTTCTTGTTTCAAGTGGCATGTTCACTAGTGCAACTGGAGGGGGTGTGGGTAGGGATCATACAGTGGTATAAATGACTCCTTTCTTTGGAAAATCCAGAATAACCACCTGAAGTCATGGTTTGGTTGTGATTAGAGAGGGAACTTCCAAACCATGAATGAGGTTTCAGTGAGGCAATGTAATCTCCGAATGTTCTGGCAACAGTTGAACAGAAGCTACATTGTAATACTCTTCTCAATAAGGTTAACTCTGAACATGAAAATGAAGCTTCAGAATATAATTATTACTGTTTATTCTCTGTGCTGATAACTGCGCTACACATCAGTGTACTGTGCCTAAATGTAAAAGGTGGACATACACCAAAAACAGGCCAAAAAATTAAAATTTGGACAAGTAGCTAATGAAGAAATCAGTGTCATACAGGACTCTAAAATCACTGTCTTCCTAATAAAGAAGAATGAGAATGGCTAGTGTACCCTTTATTCAGTGATCAGAATAAAGTCCTGATTCTCAGATGCTTCACTTTCTGTATCTTCTTTTGACACCTTCTATAAGGATACATGCTGTCAAAGCATAATCATGCAGTGCACAGAAAAAAAAAAGAAGAAGGAAACAAAGATCACATTTTGTAACACTACAAAAACATGACCTATAAATAAAAGAGATATTGTACTGAGCAGACTAAATTTGAGCTATCTGTGGGGAAGTGAGAACTTGGACTGAAACACACCAAGACACGATTCTCAAGTTTCTGATCCACAGTTTTGACTTTTATGTGCCAACAAAAGACATGAAGTATTGGTTTTGATAGAGCCTATTGAACGATAACACTAGCAATATTTTAAGAAAACCAGAAAGCTGCAATCACTCTTCCACAGACAGAAATCTATTTACTGGTATATATGCCACACCACCACATGAATACATTTATGGACATAGTTAATGCGTTATTCTGTTTCTTCAGGACAAAACAAAGCAAGCTAATTCCAGAATAATGGAGACTATGTTATGGGAATCCCTATTTCTATCAGTGACGAATCTTATGAAAAAAGATGCCATGACTATTTGGTTACCCACAGAGAGGGACACTCTACAGTACAAACTCTCACGGGTGAAGGTTGCTGTGCTGATCTAATAACACACAACCAAACTGTCATACTCATGGAAGGAATCCTTTGCATATGTTTCGATTTTCTCTTCAGCACCTACATTCTATGTTTATCTGCAACTGCCACTGTTGAGCCTGGACTGAATTAAGAAATGTTCAAAAAGGATAAAAATGTAGTAACTTTAACAAAGCTAATAAAAGGCAACAAATGTGAGCATTATCTACCTTTCCACCTTACCTATTTAATCTCTCTGTCTCCACTTCAAACTCTCGAATTTTACTTTCAGAGATAGCAGATCCATGCGAATAGAGAGTTTGGAAGATTTCCTGGATGTTGGAGCAGTCTTGCAGGGAATGTGCCAAATGTTCAGCCACAGTACTAGACACCTGCACAGGGCCGTTAATAGATTATTGTGAATAGATAACCACTGGATTTCTCCCAAAAGCACTCTGCATTGAGAACTGCATTTGCTCACATGCACTTATTTCAAGGCATTCATTATTCAGTTTTTGTTATGAATTTTACATTGAATAGAATATTTACAAGATTCCACCTTTAGAAGCCATTTTGTTTTAAAATTCTACTAACCAAAGGCGAAGGTCACTATTTCATCATACATTTAAAAAGCCTGCTACGCAAGTTATTTATGTTCTTGAAAGCTTAGCAAAAGGCTAGAGCCAAGTTCTTCAGTAAATCAAATATTAACACACAGTAACAGCAGCGTTATTGATTTACATTGGCATTTCAAAGCAGAACCCAGTTCAATATTGAAAGTTGTGAAATGCAACTGGAGAGTCATCTTGAAAAATATTTTGGAGGAAATGACTCCAAAATTTTCCTCTTGAAGTCACTCAGAGAATGATTTCTAGACACCAGTTATGAGAAAATGAGATCCTAATACTGGGTGAAATATTCTTTGTTGAAATATTTTCCTCTAAATAACTTTTAAAGTATTTGCAGTTAGTCCATATATTAATTTATTAAGAAAGCAATGCTGCTTTTATTGGAACACAAGTCATCTTCAGAAGGTATAATGAATGCACATAATTATTAGTCCTTACCCCTATGCTGCTGATTTCTGATCCTAAGACAGGTCTATCAGATGATGAAGACTCTGATCTTGTCTTTGACAGCTTCACTCTTTCAGCAATCTGTAAGTCAGAATGCTGCATAGGTTACATGGCAATAAAGTTCATGAAGTTTACACAAAACGCATCTGTGCTCTAGCAACACTTGCAAAACTGAAGTAAACTACTATAAAATTGACCCTGTGCTGTAACTGAGAGAACTACAATCATTAATACTTAATTCCTTCCTACAGTTCAAGTTCACAGAGCTGCTTAGAAAACATTCTGGGGATTCTAGACACCTTCCAGTTAATCCTGCGCAGAGCAAAACAAGGCCTGCTTTCCCCAGATAATGAGAAAGGTTACTAAAACACATAAGAGCTCACCTTGGCAATGGGAATGTCGTTGCTGCTGCTGCTGGTGCTCAGCTCTCCCGTGCTGGGGTTGATGGGTCGATTGGCAGAAGTGAGACGGCTGGGGCTGGACGGGCCCGTTGCCTGCACACTCTGCAAACGTGTCTGCAGCTCCCGAACCTACAGAAAAACTCAGCATTCTTATTCTCCCATGCATATGTTTTAAATAGTTGAAGATTTTTCTCATTGTGTAACCAAGTTTAATTGCTCCTAGCTTCAGCATAGAAGTTATATTTTTGTACCGCGGTGGCTATGAAGTTTTCATGTGAGGAGCAGATGAGTGGATGTTATTTTAAAATTCTATTGTTTTCAGTTTTTTAAAACTATTTGCAATGTGGAAATACACAAATATAATACTGTAAAGCAGTTATTCAAAGTTTCAGCTTGTTTTATATAACCCCTTCAGTACAGCTGTACTGCATGTATAGAAATTATTCTCTCTGGGGCAAAACTAATGCTCCAGCCTAAGATAATGATGCCTAAACAAATCCATTGACAATCCTGCTGGTAATGGAAAACTCCAGTTGAAAAAACCCCTCTTGACATCAATAAATCAGAGGATGACCTTGTCATATTTAAAGGTTAAAGACATTCAAACATTAATCACGCTTTAAAAAGTACAGTTAAGTAAAGCTAGCATATAATGAATAATGTACAGACAAAAGAACCCCAGCAAAGTACCCAACCAACAGCCTGCAGAAGCTCTTTGTAAACACACACTGCAAACATTGCATGGTCCTCAGAACACATCAGATACTTGCAGAACTGATGTCAAAAGATTTTCAGTACTGGAAGGTTGAAAAAAAAAAAAAAGAAATGTCTGCAGGAGCCAAACTATAGCTGAGCTAAAGATTATAGTGTTTACACTGGAGTAATTCTTCACAGACAAAGAATAAATGGTCTGCTTAACACAACAATTATGCCACAAAGTAAAGTGACAGAGCTCATTTTTCCCACAGATCTCAAACACAGACTGTGAGATGAAAGAAGGGGCAAGCAACTATCTGAAGAGGAAATTCCCCTGAAAACAGAGTTTTCCTTCAATATGCAGGTTTCTGTGCTCATTTTGATGGAACAGTTCCTCTGCAAAACAGAACCGGTGGAATTTCAACATTAAACAAATAAAATAGAAGTTTAGACCATTTGATATATTCCCCTGTATATAGAATGAAATGCAACTTTGATTCCTACTATGCAAAACAAGGTGGAATTTTATACTAAATACAATACCTTTATACAAAGAAACGATTAAGGAAGCAGAAATCCCTTAGTCAAAAAATATGAAAGTGCCCTTAATGCTTGGGCTTTCTTAAGTTGTAGGTGCACATGGTGCACATGCTTCAACTCTGCTTGAAGCATCAGCAGTTGTGTACATAACACAACATAAACAGATCTCTACAACCTACTGCAGTGAGGAAAGAGTTAAAGTTGGAACACTCTCGAGTCACCAAACCAGTATCTCATACCTCCTACAATTCTCTACCCTCTGCTTCTACTCCCTCAAGAGTATCCCTGCCTTTCTCCCTGTGTTTTATGCAAACTGAAGGTTAGACTGCCTGAGCACTTACTATCAAAAGAAATTCTAGGTATTTGCAAATTAAAAAGAAAAAAAACAAGAAAAAGAAAAAACCCTGTGTGTTTTATCTAACAGAGTGCAAGAACTGTATGCTGCTAATAAAAAGCTGTAGGTGGCAAGAACAAAAGCACAAGCACACAAAGCCTAACTGCACTCACAAGTTCCCTGTTCAGTTGTGGAGGAGTGCTACACCTTAAACAATATGAATGCAAACAACTGAAGTACACAAAACCTCAGAACAAATCCCCAGTGTTTAAAGCAACTTGCTGAAAAATGGATATGGGTGCTTGACCCAGAATTATACATCTTAGCTGCAGTTATATCATGAATATAACTGAGCAGTGTATAAAGTGCATACTTATAGCACTTCATATTTATATTTATAGCAGGTGTCTTCTACATATTTGCAGCTGAGGCCTCCTTTGTTCACACAGACATATATAATTTCAACATGGCTACAGCTGCACTAATGCAAACCTTAAGGACAGAAGTGTTCTACTGATGCAAACCAATCATTTCAGCCTGTTGATATGCATAAAGCTGAAATAAACCATGCATGCACATTTTTCCTTGCAGATGTGGAATGTCAGTGCAGATAGGATTTGTACTGTGGCATTAACACTGGGGAAAAAAAATAGAAAAAGCAACCCCAAAACTTCATTAAATTGAAATTACTATTTATAACTATTTCTTTTAACCCAGATTGTTCCAAACTAAATTCCACAAGTGCTTAAGCTACAGCACTGTTTATAAGCCAAAAAAAAAAAGAAAGACCACTACAGATGTATTCTTTCAGATCCTTACCTCAATATCTGATTTAAAAATTGCTACAATATTGACCTATGCCTCGAAGCTACTTCTGGACAATTTCAGTCCAAAGGCAAATAACATTCTAAATTAAAGTGCAATCAGGAAAGAGTGTGTTGAAGTTGTTTAAATGTTGTGTTCATTGACTCTAAACTTTAAAACTAACTTGTGTAAAGACAGCATTGTACAAAAATTTAATGCAGATAGATTTCCTTTAGTCTATGTTTTATTAGTGAGCAGCAACTACTGGCCATCATTACAAAGCCAATTATTCTTAAGGATCTGTAAAACACTAACAACAGGAAGAAAAATGAACACAGCTAAGGCAACATGCAAACATTTCTCAGGAAAGCATTTCTAAAAGAAAACTCAGAGCACAGCACAGTCATTCATCTACGCAACCCACTGCTTCAATATTGTATCATAGAAGCAACCACAGCTTAAAGAAGCTGCCTGCTCATCTATACTTCTTGAGGTGTTTATTCAGGGCCCTATTTCTGAAATTACATGCTGAACTGATTGCTATAAATAACCGCACTAACTTTAGCAATGCTAAGTACTGGATAGTAATTTGGAGCAGAATAACGAGGCAAGATTGACCTGTAAAATCACGAATCTCAGAATTCATACATTCACCAAGCCAGAATCTCATGATTGTATTGCCCACCCATCACACTGCCCAGAGACACCTTAAGTAACTATTTCTGATCATCAGAACCTCCCCTGTAAATAGATGCAGCATCTCCCTAGAAAGTACTTTTCCACACTTGTAGCAATTCTAAAGGAAAAACAAAAAAAAAAACCACAAAGAACAGGATTAAAAAAAAAAAAAAAAAAAAAAAAAAAAAAAAAAAAAAAAAAAAAAAAAAAAAAACCCAAAACCAAACCAACCAACCAAACAAACAAAAAACCACCATAAAAACCCCCAGAGTTCAGAAGAGCCAATCTCTTCTCTGGATTGGTGAACACATGAGTTATGAAAATACTAGTTTTAAAAGCATGATAAAAAATTGTCTGATCCCCTATACTCCATACTTCTAACACTCTTTAGTTGTCATTACCAATAGAATAATAATTATTCTGAAGATTATGCTAATTAGTAGAAAGAAGGTACCTGCAGTACTGCACATGAGACAAAATGAACACTTGAAAATGAGAGAAGGGAATATCTTACACGAAATGGATGGCAAAATTAGCAAAATCCAATGGGTAAAGACAAGTATAGAAACAAACCCAAAGAAGTTCCACTGAAAGACAGGAACAGTGTGGATTTGTGAGTTAGGGAGGAATAACAAGGAAGAATTTAAAGAAAAATTTCTAGAGTCCTTGCATTATATTAGTTTAAAGATGGAAACATCCAGAAAGGTATGGAAATTGCCATGGACTCTCAAAGCTCTAAATTGAGATGGAAAGTGACTGACAGACAGATCTAATTATATGATCATAAAAAAAAAGGAGTAGAGAATGGAGAGGAAAAGGAGAAATCCATGGAAACATCTGTGAAATTCAGAATTAAAAAAAGGAAAAGGCAAATATCTTCTAAACAGCTGGAGCAAGTCCAAAGAATTACAGAAGTAAAGAAGTGCTGGAAACTTAGAAAGAGCAGGAGCAGGGGTATTAAGTGAGACACAAGGCAACAGAGCCATTATACTTCAGACCAAAGGACAACCTAGCTACGGAGAGAAGTCCGGTGCAAACAGATGTTCTCAAGTTATTATGAAGATGTAAGTAACTGGAAATTTTATTTATCAATATTTGATGTTTAGCACTGAACCAATTGCTTAGCTGTGTTTTTATTTTTTTTTCCCTTTGAATGATGAAAATTGGAGTAGAAAATAGGGAAAAATTAAGCATATTTCTTGTGCATACCTTAAGAACTAAATAAAAGGACAGCAAGGGGCTGACACATTCCAGCAATGCTAGATTTAAGAAAGACTTCATAAGTTATTAACAGGCATCACAGACATATTTGCAGAAATGCATCATGGTTATAGAGAAATACTTCAGTGAAATATTGTCATTATCTGTAATCATGAATCTAAGAACATGTTTTCAGTCTTTGTATTTTATACATGCACGCTCACAACTACAAGATTGATTAACATACCCTAAATAAAAAACCAGAGCTACAAACTGCCTGCTTTTGTCACTGATTTCCACATTCAAAGGACACCTGCTCCTTTTGTTTTTAATCCAGTTTCAAATTACATGCCTGTGACTCTTTTCCTTCTACCCTACTTGTGACCTCTTTCATCAGGCAGTATCTTTGAACCCTTCAAGTAATAGCACTTTTCCCCCCAGCATTTTAATACTGCTTTATTTTTTTCCCTGTTATATGAAGGAGAAAGATGAAGCACAACAAACTACAGGACGTGAACCTCTCCCCACTTTCTAAATTATTCACGCATACTGAAAATCCATGGAGGGAAAGATGTCAAACAAAACATCAGTGTAACAATTCAAGCTGCTGTGAGTGGTGATGGCCCTTCCCAGCCAAAAGCATCCCTAATCTTTCATTTAGGCTAGTGGTGATTATTTTCAGCCAGATAATTTTCAGTCTCTCTTATATCATGAGCACCAGAACAAGCAAGGTGTATGTTCCGGCAGATTGTCTCTTGGGGTTGACTGAGTATGGTATAGAAGTCTTTCCTGGTATCTATAAGGGCCATCTCCTCAAGGAATTCTCTGGAGCTAGATGAGCTTAGACCTGCAGTCATCAGCTGAAAGGAGGCACTTGCAGAATCGGTGTCCTCTGCAGAGATGTCTGCTTTCAAAAAACGTATAAGAACTTAACTGCCACTAGTGGCGCTACCCCCCTGGCAGATCCGAAAATCAAACTGCTGTTCAAACAATTACTTTGAGAAATGGAGAAAGGGAGTGACACAGACACAACAAGCTGTAGGAGAACAGGAATGCTACTTATACACCCAGCTTTTATATACAGCAGGAGAAGCATTCCTCTGCTTTTCACACCAACAGTCCCTCACGCAGAAAGACCTGGGTGCTGCAACTCTATAAAGGATGCAAAGTAACAAAAACCAAGGATGTGGTAAGATGTGACATGGGAGGCAAAGGGTGAATTCCCTAAAAGCTCTGAGCACAACTCACATATTCTGATCCACGCTAGCACACATCAGAAACAAACACAGGTGAGGGCAGAAAGCATATCTCAGGCATTCTCTCATTTAATTTCAGATTAAACACTGAGTATTTGCATACAAGCTTGGAAACAGGAGAAAGCTCTACTTCATTAACACCTAGGTGGAGATAGTGCTGCATAAGCAAATACCAAGCAACTGAAGGAGGCAGAGAATGGAAACAGCTTTTGGCTGCTACCTCAAGTTTCTGGTGCTCACCAAGAGACAAGGAGACAGAACAGTTCCAGGAGCACTTTAAGATATGAAAGAAGATAATCATCTCTAAAGGCCCATAAAATATCAGTGTTCTCTAGCACTCTGGAACAATACCTTCCGATCCCAACAGGAATGACAACAAAACAAGGACAGTCCAACAGCTCATGCCAGCTTTGTGTCACCTGAGAACAGTGTGGGCTCAAGAATGCCTGCAAGCCTGAGGATCTGACTCCTGCTGTGGTATGGGTAGGTTTCAACTGCTCATAAAACCTGCATATTTTGGGAGAGCCCTCATGCTAAAACAAAGTTTTCTGGAGCACGAGTAATGTGGGCAGCTGGAGGGATCACACAAAAAATGCCTCTTTTCTACTCCTCTACAGATTACGTTTTCATTAAGGTCTTAGCTGAAGATAGCTTATGAATCCTGGTTTTGTTCTGGTCAGTTTGGTGAATTTGGCTGAGTTTGGAGCTATAGAACAACTCTCACAACTAAAAACATTTGATTAACTGAATAAGTTGACATATGACTTATGCAGAGAACAGTCTTAACAGACTTCTAGAGCTGGAATTGCTCTGACTTCAGACTTAGTTCTTCAGAACAGCCTCAGGGAAGCCTGAACGTTTCCCACACCCACGGCTTCTTATGCCAACCAGCTGCTTAGGACTGTGCTGAGGTACTACTTATCTGGCAACTTTCGTGGGCAGTAATTAAAAAACTCACAATTCTTACTTTGCAGTCATGATGGAGTTTATATGCTGTATCAGTGCTGAATGCCCAGGTGGATAAAAGGGCTTTTGTATAGCAACACAAATATTATTTTTTTTCTACTATTTAAGCCTGTTACTCTATATAGCAGTTGAAAATAGTGCTGACCTGATTACAACCTTATTCTCATGTAATAATAATATTAATCCCATGAACTGGTACAGAAGTTCCCCAGCACCTTATCTGTATTACTGGATTCAGGATTATGATCAGCTGTTCGTAAGCAATTTCTAGGGCATTTACAGGCCCAGACCTAAACAGATTTTATTTTTAATGTAGCAATATAATACAGAGGTAAAATAAACCTCTGCATTATGAAATTAGCTGCTACACTGCAGACAACCTACAGAAATAAGCAATTACCTTATTTTCTAATGACCCGTGTGAAACAAACTCCAAATGTATGTTGTTTCTTAGCCACTGTTCCAGAGAGCAGCTCAATCTGTTAACTGAGGGCAGTAAATACCTAATTAAATTAAATCTCCAACAAGCCTGAGAAAAACATATTGAAAGCACTCTGCTTGATTACAGGCATTGGTCTGAGGGAACAGACCTATTGATCTGGTCAACTACAAGCTTGTTCACTTCACCCAATTTAATTTGAGAAGAACAATAACTAAATTTTAGCTGGATCTCCTTTTCCCCTCTCCAGGGAAATAATCTGAAGCGATTCTTGAGTTCAGGTGGCATACAGAAAATATTTAATAGGTCAAAGAAAACATTTATTTTGTTGCCACTATGGACAAAGAGCTACATTAAAAATGCAAATATGGTTTCCAGTGCAACATTTATGTAGTGTGTAGACAGGGTCATATGCCATGAGCAAAATTCTCTAGTGGGGGCAATAAAGCAGTGGTTCTGCACATTCAGAATGATATTAAATACCATATTTCAGTAAAGTCCTCTGTAGTAGCAAACTAAATGAAAACAACTGAAAACGCCCTGCCAGCTGTGCCCAAATATTAAGGCTCTGTGGTAATCCAACACTACTGCCTCATCTACTGGGTGACACATCTACTATCCAATCTGTCCAAGAAGAATTTCCTTAATTAAAGAAGAATGAACATTTAAATTGGCTTGCTACACCAAAGACAGCTCACAGTCTATACTGAACAGTTCAAGACTTACTTACCCTCTGCAGGGTCAAAATGTAACAGATTTGTGCAGAGGTGCTAAGTCTAGCTCTTTTCTCCCTTTACTTTGGATACAATTCTGAAGTAACTATCTCGGTTTTGATAGGTATCCCTGAATAGTCATAGGTTTCACTATACAAACATAACTTTAATATTTTGAAGCTCTATTTTGAATCCTCTTTCCTCTTAGACACCTCATAGTCCAATTTCTGGGCTAATATAGCCACGAGTGATTTATATTAATCTGTTCTTGCTCCAGTTTCGTCCATAAGTTTGGAGAGCCATTACTCCCATTCTTAGTTGCCTTCTCCAGAACTTGTTAAGAGAAACCAAATTAAGATTCTGTTTTGCCAAGTTGAACAGGACAATCTTTTTTAAGTCCCTTCTCCAAGTACGCTGCCCATTTCTCTCACCATCTTCACCACCTTTTTTTGGCCTTTTCATGCATAAGAGATAAGAACTATACAAAACATTCCAGATCAGATCTCACCACTCTTTATACAGCCTTTCCCACCTCTACTGAAAAAACTTCTCTGGTAAATCATAGGATTGAATTTGCCACCACGTGTCAATGGCTCAGCCGCACTGATCCCTGAGGCTACAAACGCCAACTCTGTCCCCTTTTCTTTTTATGAACTGAGGAGCTTTTGGCTGTCAGCAGAAATTCTTGTTACCAACCTTTCAAGCACCTTAACTTGCATTCCATATTTCTACAAATTTCTTTTTGTAAGCTCAAGGCCACCTATTTTTTTCTTGTTTGATATCCCAAAACTGATCTGTATATTCCGTAGTATCAATGTCTGCATTTGTGTAAGCAAACATCACAAGGACATACTTCTATTCTCTGCCCGTTTGTGTTGTCATGTCCACCCCCTCAATTTGGCAATAATTCACCCAGTGCATAAACGTCACTGCTGTAGCTCAAGGGGTGGTACTGCTTCTGCTTAAAATAAGTGTCACTATAAAAACAGTCCAAAAAGTTCAGGACTGAAAACAAGCTATGGTGTGTAATAAAAAAAAAAAAAAATTACAAAGGAAAAATTGAAATGGTTTTGTATTATACGATAAGAGATTACTATTTTTGCCTCATCACACATACCTTTTTTAGTGTTGGGAGAGGCTAGAGAGTTTTGAAAAGGTTAATTGTGGCTTGATATCTAAAGATTGGAAATCTCATACAATCCAGATTTATGATAAAATTATATAGTCACTGCAGAACAATGTTGTTTTAGAACAGCAAAAAGGGTTGATCTGCTGCTAATAGGTAAAGAACAACACTTGCAATTATTTCACCAAGGTACAGTGGTCTGAATTGTTGTTCAGATTGAACACAAACTTGAAACTGTCTGTTTTAAAGAGAAAAGTACTTTGTATCTAGCCTAAACTGCAGATTTAACAAAGTTAACAAATTTTAGAAGTAACAGAGATTGAGGTTACTTTCTCTTGGACCTTTCATCTTCGTTTTTTGTGGGTTTTTTTTTTGTTTATTTGGTTGCTTTTTTTTTTTTCCACTTTGGAATCCACACAAAGCACAAGGCCTTTCTCTGACCTTACATCATCATAAAATGCAGACAGGGAAGCAGGACATGGCTGGGACTACTCATTGTTCAGTATGAGAATTATTACCCACTGACAGCAGTCCTGCTCTTTTTCTTTTTCCTAATCACAAATTGAATTCCCATCAAAACCAAAGAAATATTTGTTGTTTACAGGGGGAAAAAAAGCCTCACAGGAAAATTCACTAAATGAACATCTGCTTTCTCTATAGCCAAGTTACATATGCTTCCTTGAAGATGAATATCAGGTTTTCTGTTAACAGACGTTTTCTGACATCAGGTTATTGTACACACCGGCTGTTTATCACATACTCTTTTTCAAATATGTTCAGTTTTGTCCCAGTTTTGTCACTTGTACAACCCAGCTTTAAAAACAAAAAGCCCTACAGCCAGTAGAGGAAGTGAGATTAAAGAGAGGCTTGTTCTGGTGACATAATCACACAGGCTCGGAGGAACAAGAAGCCTTCATCTCTGCAGCAGCCTTACCCTTCTGCGCAGCCTGTCCCTCTCCTCACGGACAGCATTCATGGTGGCCTTGGTCCTGTTGAGCTCCTCCTCTTTGCTGCACAGCATGGCTGTGAGGCTTTCATTCTCTTCTCGAAGACCAGCGAGCTCCTTCTCCCATCGAGACCTCTCCTCTGACAGATTTGGATAAAGGTCACGTCCCAGTACACCCTCAATCTCTTCTACAGTCTGCAAAAATAAAGTCATCAAAAAACAAGCAAGAAGCAAAGATGACTGAGCAGGACTAACAGGTACACAGGGCAGAAGTGTGTAACAGGATGTAACTCTGTATTCTTATATTTACACATGTAGTCCCATAACACCATTAGTTTGCTTCTTATGTTTGCTAAGAAATATCAAACAAAATTATTTTCTTTGACTATTTTATTAAAATATTTTGCACTGACAAACACTGAAGCAGACAGATATATGCAAATAAAACACATGTCAAATGTGAACGACAGCAATCCCACTAGTTTCATCATAGAACACTTCATAACAAATTAATGACTTCTTGTCATGGGAGAGCCCTGTACTTACTGTTTCCCTGCTGAGTAACAGGCAGGAAGTAGCAGCCTGTGAATGTGCATTGCATGGGGCCTTTCTCAGTTCTAGACCAACATCACAAAAGGGCAAAGAAAAGAGTGGGAGGGGATAAAAAGACGACTCTTCTTTCCCATGTCCCTGAGTTTGTTCTTTTCTTGATGTGACAGCAATACAAAAAAAAAACACCTCTGGCCTTGGCTAGGCTTCCATTATACCAGAAGATGTTACAGCCTTTCTAGTGCCTGCAAAAGTGCTAGGTTTCTATGGGACATACAGTGCCATTCAGGACTTCCCGTCCCACCTCATTGCTCAGTGCCTTGTAGGCACCATTCAGTACTGGGGACATTCAGCAACTTCCAGTGGGTGAAACTAAACTACATTCGCCCACCACCAGCAAGAGAATACTGCCATGGCTAAACTTACTATCAGACTGGTCACTCAACATATTGAAACACAGCTTGACACTCAATGTGTCAGGGAACAACACGCAGTTTTGAATTCAGTATACAGTGCATGGTGTGCCTGTGTTCGAATGGCAGAACCACTCCAAATGTCACATATAAGCGTTTGAATCTCTCTGAAAGCAGTATGCACTAAAATCATGGAAGAAATATGGAAAATAAAAGGAATATATGATGTAACTAGCAATGCAGAAAGTTTCACTTCATTGGATAATCCAAAACCAAGCTATGGCTAAAGCCTATATACTTTTATGTATAATATGGAAGACAACTCATGCACCAAGGTAAAAAATAGTCTATTTAGTTGTTTTATTCAAAAGTACTTAACTTCTATATTCTGATTGATCCCTTCCAATTCAGCATATTTTAGGATTTTAAATATAACAAAAATTACTGTCTTGTTTATTTCCTTAAATCAGGAGGGACTAAAAGAACTAACTAGAGTACAGCTGAAAATGACAAACCAAGTTAGAAACACAATGCCCTCTTTTTTTTATTTCTTCAAGAAATCTTCCCAGTGTTTTCAGCAATGTCTGACTTTGAGGGATCAAACCTTATTATTTGTTCATTAAAATGACAAGTTGGTTACTTATGCTTATCAAGCAATAATCTTAAAGAATAAATCTTGGCTACAGCAAGACTCCTTACTGAGAAGGAAAAGACACTCATACAAAAGAAAAAACATACTTTTAACAACTAGTTTGAAATGCTCTATAGAGGAAGCAGGGACAAAACTTTAACAGTCAGGCTCAGTTTATCCTTTTAAATCATATTTCATGTCTCTCTTCTATAAAACTGCAATACGTTTAGAGTCATAATTATAAAACTTTATTGACAGAGCATCTACACCACAATTCTACTTACGCATTTGGTAGTAAGCTGAAATTACTTCTCTAAAAGAGCAATGCCTTGCAAAATCTCTAGAAGATGAAAGAGGCTGCAGCTCTCCCTTACATTAGCTTCACTTGGACCTATAGGTCTCAAATTATGACAACGTAAATTATTTCAACACAGCATGATAATGAGTTTAAGTTCTGAATAAGCACAGGGCAATTAACCTTAAAACGTGAAGCAAAAGCTCTGTAATGGCAGGAGAGATCTCTTTTGATGACGCCAGGTTTATTTTACACAGTGCCTCTTTGTTGCTGTCTTCTCCTGTCCCTTTGTCCCTCATGCCCCCCTCGAATTTTCCCTGCTATGTTCTCACCCCTTTAACACAAAGTTCTGCTGCTGCCTCCTACCTCCTTATTCCCCATGCTCCTGAGTGTTGCTGTTTTTCCAACCCCTCCCTTTTCCAAGCCTCTTCTCCTCCTCAGAGCACTACTGGGGGTGATAACCCTGTAGCAACACCAAAAGAGAAAGGATTGCCATGAGGAAGCAGCAGCAGTGGTTTAACACCACAGAGGCATCTTCAGATCTTCAGACAGAGAGGCTGCTGCTGTTTTTCATGGCTCCAGTGCTACCACATGCCCACACAAGTGCAAAGTTCAGGCACTGACAGCATCAGGGTCTGAGAGTCATACTAGGGGCTGCCCTACAATCCCTAACAAAACCAAGGGACCATGCTGCTTCCTTCTGTGCTCCTTCATTTTGCAATGATCAATATCCTTCTGCTGACTAAACTATTATCACAGTTCTCCAGTTTGATGACCAACATGCTCCTATCAACCACGGTAAATAAAACATAAAAAATGTACTTGGATATATCTGTTTGTATGGATATATCTAAGTGTTGTTTATTTTTTTCAGAGCAGTATCACACAGCAGTTTTATCTGCTGCACAGCAGACAAATTCAGGTATAATTTCACAGAGCATAGGACTGAATTACAATGCAGTGTTTTGAGCACAGGGCAGGATGCCATCATGGTAATTCCAGTCTTGTCTCTGACACCACCATCAGTACTCTCTGCCTTAATTTCTTTACAATTTCTTTACAAGCGGTGTTGTGTTACAGATGTGATATCAGATGAAATCACTAAGTATAAGGTCTGAAAGAAGTAAAAGAAGTACTCCTTCACATGGCATAACTCAGTGGTAGAATTTATTCCTACCAGAATTTATGATAAATCCCATTTCAAAGTCTTTTCAGCTTTTATTGTGACAAAAATGATTGAGTTAGCTATGGTCACATGATTTCTATAAAAAAAACAAATAAACAATTTACCACCAACACCATTAGAAGGAACCCAGTGCCAGTGACATTTAACCATCAAAACAGAAGGATTCAACACATTCAGTTTCATTAGTCCATTGCTGAAGAAAAAAAGCCAGCAGTCAAAACAAAAGGCAGAATACTTGAATTTCCATTCTTGTTTCCATCCATTTTAAAAATCTCTCAGTTCTTTGTCTGAGGAAGCAGGAAAAGAGAAATGACCTGCAGCCACGGGTGGAATGGTAGAGAGGGGCTCGGCATGTAGGTCTTGCTATATTAAACACATTGGTGACACACTTCCCTAGTGCATAATCAAGCATGTCACAGAGATTCCCATCCTCCTGAAAGGTTAATAACCTTTGCATGCTATCTTGTCAAACTCAAGCATAGGCAGTGGAGAAAAGTATTCCCCTCAAAATGGCTATGCATGTAGAGATCACACAAGGATAAAAAGGCTTGTGTTTTGGATCAGGAAGAAACTACTGATAGTTAGTTATCATCATAAAAGTGTGACAGTAGTTAATGTGAATCAACAGTAAAAAATGGGATTAAAATAAAAAGTTTGAGAATTGAGCTTTTGGCAGATATTTTGACACTTTGTTGAATCCAGCTCCTGCAGAAGTCTTGATCTCATCTCACATCAGATACCTCTGTGGACCTCACACAGACTGATCTCTACCCCTCTCTTGGTTAATACTGACTTCTGAAAACAGTTAATCCCAAAACTTCAAATACTACTTGGTAACATTCGAAGTATTGATCCAAATCCTCTGAGACACTCAAGTAAACTGATTTAATACTTATGCCAAGAGACCAGAAGTCAGTCTGTCTCCCTCTCTCTCTCTCAAACACACATTCTTCAAATTACTATTTTCGACATTATTTTTTTAAATTTCATTATATTCCTCAGGCACCACCAGGGACAGAGGGAACTTTTCCCAGCAGTATGGCAAAGGGCTGTCAAAGCCATCTAAAATGGTTGCAGTCCATCCCACTTGAAGAGCAAACAGTCATCTATTTTTTCTTGTATAAATGAGTCATTGACACCTTTCCATTTATCGCAAAGAAACTTTTTCAGGTCTTTCCCTGTATATAAGATACTTTATGTCCCACTCCCTTTCAGGTTCTGAATTGCAATCCCTTTGTTACATGTGCCAGCAGGCAACTCCCGTTCTGTTATATGTACAACACAAGATACACAGGTATCAGCTGAATTACTTGTTCCTGCGTCTGACTTGTCTCATTTGAACTAACAAACCACACATGCCTCATGTTAAATTGGTTTTACATTTTAAGACAGTCAAGTGACATCGCAGGTGTACGCACTGTGTTTTCAGTTATCAGTCAATGATCAGCTGGAGCACCTCGGGCAAGTGACAACCTGTTTGCTGGATAAGCAAACTTGCCTAAGAAAGTAAATTAAGTGCTGAGTGTCCCCATTTCTCTTATCTCTGAAATGAGCGTAAGACAAATACATTTCTGATTTGAGATCAGAAGTATATTAGTAGCTCCTCCCAAGCCTTGGAGAACTCAGTGTAAAACAGGTGTATTACTACTTACCCAAAAATGTGAACTTGAGTTGATTCACGTGAAATACTCTGGCACCTTTGGAAGTGAAGTGTTATTACTACAGAAGTGGTCAGGTGTGTCAGGCAACACTGCATTTACAGCCTAATGCTACCATTACCTTAATGGCTAAATCACAATGTTCACTGGCAGTAGTGAGCTGTTCAATGTGTCTGTCCACTTCTGCTACCGATAAACTGCAGCTGCTTTTCTTCCGCCCACAGACAACATTTTCCAGACCTGTCAGCACTCTTTGCAGTTCTGAATTCAAGTCACTACAGTTATCTAAAAGAAAACAAGAAAAAACAAAACAAATATCTCAACAATTAGTGACTCAGTGAAAAAACAAACTCTCACTCAAGAAGTGCCTCTTGCAGAATAGCCAGGACTGATATTGTTCAAGGAATGTCCTCGCACTCTGCCACTTTTTTCTTACCAACTGATAGACTTAAATACCATAACCACACCAAATGAAATCAGGAGTTACCTCCCATCTAACTAAACAGTCCCTCTGCTTGTCTGAAGTCCTCATTCTTCCTTCAAAAACCCCTCTTGTATGAAGAACATTTTAAGACATCACATGCTTATACTGTAAGACATTTCTTTATATTGTTCTTTTGACCATTCAAGGCCAATTAGCCTGACTTTGTTACCCTCATAGGTTTCCCTCTCTAAATTCAACTATTTTTTTCTGTCTGGTACATTTATTGATGTTATGACAATGGTTTTCAGAGGAATTTTTGTGGTTGTACTTAGAGTCTGCCTGACTTAAAAAAGTCCTGCTGTTTACGGAAACAATCCCGACCGACTACCTAAGAATCAATGTTTTATTTTAGTAGCTACTCCTTCTTCTGCAACAGCAGAATATTCAGGGATCATAACACCACAGCTTATTTTTTGTTATGTTCCATACTACAACCATATTAGAAGCTTATATAACAATGCTATTTTAATTATAAAATGCAGCAGATAATCACTTTTTTCCTGACTTTAGGCTAACCTCTTCTAGTGCCTTGGGCATTGCCATAGCATCCTCCATTTATTTGAAAACAAGTAGGTCTCTGTACCTTGCTGGTTCAATTCATAAGTTATTTTCATTTTTCTTAGGCTCTCCTCTGGTGACAGACAGTGGCAGTTCCTACATGTGATAGAATTCACCCTTGTGCACTCTCTCAGATGTGCTATTTAGTATTCCTGGCTTTCTAGGTAAGAGCTTGCAATAGCTACCCACAGCACAGCACACAAGTGGTCCACTACGAGATGGTACTGCACCCACAGCTCCTATATCCTACTAAAAACAGTGGCATGCATTTTTGCTGCTGAGTGTTATTTCTATATGACTGCTACAAGTGCTTTATGACGGTAAGAATTCCATGGCAGCCTTATAGCTGCGGTTCTTACAGGGGATTAAAGCATCATGACGTGACTCTTGGGGATGGCCCTGTGCAGGGCCATGAGTTGGTCCTGAGGGGTCCCTAACTCAGCATATTCTATGATTCTATGACACTGTGAAACACAAACCTATTGCTGAACAAAATGAAGAGTTTAGAATGATGTCACAGCATTGCATGAAAAATATGAAGGGAAACATACAAAACTTTACTGGAAGTCATATTCAGTAGTTCCTGTCTAGAAGCCACCCACCTGCTATAAAATTACCAAAAAAGCCCTTTAAAAATGATAACAACACTCCCTTATAAGCAGCATACAGCAAGCAGGATGCTTACTTGTAAAAATCTCTGGTTTTTTGCTTGAATTTACTTGTTTCTATAGCATCTTCTGTAACAAACATTTTGCACATTTAAGCAACCTTCAGAAGATCTTGTGTACTGAGATTTGTTACTAAAATAACATTTTCCCTATAAAATAATGGTTTGTCATGTGAGGAACCCATTTCTGACAGAAACCAAATCACAAGATCTGCAAGATATACTGGATAGCATTCATAGTTCTAGCTCTAGGTGTTTTATTGCCTGTAGCAATAGAGCAGCATATCCACATGCATTAGTGTGTCATGAGGTATTATTTGCTTTACTAAGTCACTGATGCTCACTCCATTAGGGCAGTAAGCAAGTCACGCACATGGTTATTATATCATGATTTTTTAATCTTTATACACCTAATCTTTATATCTAGAAAGATTAAAAAATATACTTATTTGTATATGTGTGTGCGTGTATGTGTGTGCATGTATGCACATAATTTATTTTCTCAGAAATATGGAAACAGTCCACAAGAAAAGACAGTCTATGTATATAAGGAAAATATGGAAGAAATGCAAGAATCCCTACAGCTGGCATTCGTATTTTGTCTATTGCTATATGTGATGTCCCACCCTTAAGGGGAAGGGAGCACCCAAGATTTGTAGATGCTTGTGGTCAAAGGAATGACAAAAGTCAAAGAGTCCACAAAAGCTCATAAAATTTTATTAGTAGATTACACACTTGGCATGGAAAATGGTGTGTTAGTCGCTGACCTACTACATAGTGAGTATGGATGAAGGGGTAGCATGAAAGGGAAGAGAGAAAGAGAGAGATGAATTAAACAGGGAGAGAGAGAAAGAGAAAAAAAGAAAGAAAAAGATGAGCAGTTCTGACTCCAGCATGATCCAGTTGCGGTGTTCAGGATGCTGGAGTGCACATGCAGAGCAAGCACACTGGAGCTTTGTGGGGATACCTATTGATAGATAAATTTTCCCTGCTCTGGAGATCAGTTTCTCACTTTCTGTGCAAATCAGTTAGCATGTGCAGCTGGTTCTTTCAGACATTTCTGGAAATGGGTTGGAGGCTTTGGTGCTTTTGGGTGGTCTTGATCCCTCCCTACAATCCATGCCCACTTCTCATTCCCATTCCTGCACTTGATCGGTACCGTGTTGTACTTATCTCTACAGGGGCTGATCAAGAACATTTGTCCCAGAAAAGTGCTGCTCGCTCCTCCACACATGCCCCTTCTCCAGCCACATCCTGCTCTTCTTATAATGTGTTACTACCAACAATCCTTGGCTGTTATTATCAATAATCCTTGGTTGGCTCCACATCTATCTGGCCATTCTTGTTTTGAGATATACACATTAGCCCCCTTATCTTCTGGGTTTCTACACTATATTTCATTTTATTGCCTTGTTTCCCACTGTTGGTCGAAACTTAAACAGATAACTTGCTGTTAATGTGCACAAACCCTGGTTCAGTTCCACCCCATGAAGAAAAAAATCAAAGCCCCGATACCAAAATACAAGCTAAAAAGTGGATTAGTTTCACTCTTTTGGTCAAAAGAAAATTAAAGAGAAATAAAATCCTCATATCACAATCTGTTCAAGTAGGAATGTAACAGTAAACATTAACTTTTGGAAGTAAAAAAAAATTAATTTTTTAAGAATATAAAACCCTTTACTAAAATATCTTGACTCCATCCAATATTTTGTTAATACTTTGAATTCTGTAGGTCAGACGTCTCACAATTACATAGATACTGTCATAGAACATACTGCCTATCAATGTTTCTAGAAAATAAAGACATTGAAATACAGTGGCTGGTCTTACATTGATAAACAATATGGTATAGAAAATAGAAATAGTATTCTGAATAGAGTTCTGAATAGTGAGGATCACACCAGACTTCTGCTAGTCTACAGCTATGGTTCTCATCCATTTTGCCCAAACACTTAAAACATCATGCTGGAGGTCTAGGATCTGCTCATGCCTACACTGCAAAATGTATGGAGAAATTATTTCATATGCAGAGGTTCTTCAGTTAATCAGTAATTGTGCTTGAATGACAAAACATGAAATTGTGTAGGAAAGGTGCTTGTCTTCTTAGTTCTTAATCAGAAAAAAATGAGGTGCAGATTATCTGGAGGTCCTCCCTCCTTGCACTTTGAATGGCTTGTGTCAGACGCATCCTTGTCTAAATCCATTTTGGCAAGCTATTCCTATCCATGCTTTAAAAAGACCCTCAGTTTTCAAAAAACGTGGACATCCTCCATAATTAGGCTTTAAAAGAGTTCCGTTACCTATGCTTTGCCCCCTAACTTTTAATCTGTCTGCAATCCTTTTCTAAAGTTAGACTACTTCACAGGAACATGTAAGGTGTGTGAATATCTTTCATCCCTTTCGTATTTCTCAAAATTCATGAGCTCTCATGAACAATATTCCATTTTAACTCCATAGCTATTCTACACAGCCAGTGTGGCCAGCAGGACCAGGGAAGTGTACCGGGCACGGGTGAGGCCACAACTCAAATCCTGTGTCCCATTATGGGCCTCTCACTACAAGAAGGACATTGAGGTGCTGGAAAGGTAACAGAGCTGGGGAAGGGTCTGGAGCAAAAGTCTAACGAGGAGCAGCTGAGCTGGTTTCCCCTGGAGAAAAAAAGGCTCAGGAGGGATCTTCTCACTCCCTAAAAAGAGGCTTTAGTGAGGTGGGGGTTGATCTCTTTTCCCAAGTAACAAGTGATAGGACGAGAGGAAACAGCCTCAAGCTGGACCAGGGCATGTTTAGATTAGATATTATGAAAAATCTTTTCATAGAGAGGGAACAGACTGCCTAGGGAAGGTGTGGAATCACCATCCCTGAAGTGTTCAAAAACTGTGTGGATATGGCACTTGAGGATGTGATTTAATGGTGAACATGGTGGTGGTGCTGGGCTGACGGTTGGACTTGAAGATCTTAGAGGTCTTTTCCCAAACTTAATGATTCTATCACCACGTCACAGAGGTTACTTCACATACAAGTTGTGTAGAAGTTCAGCACTAGTTATGATTAGCACACCCCAGACTAATTTATTTCCTCATCAATGTTTGCATCTGCATTTCAAAGGCTATATGTTACCTTTCTGCTGTGAGAAAGCATTATGTCTACACTAGGAAGCACAACTCACCCATATCTGCAGTGACCATGGTGGACTGATTCTCTGGTACCGAAACAGAATTCTGGTCCACGCTGCGTGAGTCCTCATTAACCTCCTGCTGGCTCTGGCTGAGCTCCGACCGCAGCTCTGAGTACTCATCCTCCTCCCTGGGAGACAGAGCAAAGGTAGAAATAAAATCCTCTGAGGAAGTATCTTCTGTGACGTTCATTTTAGACCTGTCAGCTGAGCCACAGGACACAATCCACAGAAGTTTTGTTCAGTCAGTAGAGAAGATTTATACCCTTCACTGCAAAGCAACTCTGCTATGCCCATAACACCTACTTGCAGCAGCCAGTGCCTGGTTTCCATTTCTTTATTCCCAAGTTCATTATTACTCCAGATCACTGTAGAAGGAAACAATGGGTGGAACTGATAGCTAGCAAAGATGTGTGCAAGGACATACACTGCTCTGCAGCAGTTCCCCAACTTAAAATTCACACAGATCAGCACAAGTAGCTTTGATCCCAAAGTGGATTAGAAATAACTGGTTTTGGTCTCTTTCTCAGTTCAAGGTTGTCATCAGCTTGTGTGCAAAGCAAGCATGCACGTGCACATACCTGCATATGTGTATCAAAATGCTCTTAGAGATAGGTAGGTTTTTCATTTTCTCAAAAGAGACAACACATAACTGAGTATTGCACCGAACTGCTGGAGTTAGCAGAAAATAAAAAGCCTCAGTTATCTAGGTTTTAACTAACTTGTCAAGCTGGTTCAACTAAAATCACTGAGGACACAGAATACTTTAGCTAAAGCCAATGAGCTTAAAAAATTAAGTCTTTTCCCTCCTGTCTCCACACAAAGAATTTCAAGCACTGGGGGAGAAGATAAGTAAATGAATAATAGCTTTTCCTGAGAACATTTGTAAATATTTTTTCTTGTTGATTTGACTCTGAATTTTTTTTTTTTTACTTTCATAGTGACTGTTTTTACATTAAAGTATCTTTTAAACATGAAAAAAACACCAATTTATCCAGATGCAGAACCTTTCTGAAAGTAGACAAATGGCTATCATTTTGTTTCACACTGAATCACATGCAGTGATTAATTTTGCAGCAGATTCAGCAGAAAAGTGGGAGCATAAAACTGTCTGCGTTTGGGAACAGAAACAGCAAAGACCTGTCTGCGGATCTGCATCTGAGAGGAGTATCTGTAATGCTAGGTTTCCTGTGCATATGCCACATACATTGTGTGTATGGTGATGAGTGTGTTTTGCAGGATTCAGCCTGGAGTTGTGTCTGCCTTTTTCAGGCAAAATAGCAAAGAAGATGGCCCCTGCACACAGGGATCAATAACAGAAGTGAAGTCTGCTCTCAGAGTTGCAGAGCTGACAACTTATGAACCCGTCTCAAAAACTCAAAAAAGAGAATTTTAGTTTGCTTGCCAAGCAGGGTTTCCCAAGGTACTGAGACATATTTTCTACATGAACTACCATGCTCTTCTACCCCTTACATTTGCTTCAGTGCAAAGAAAGTGTGACTTTATCAGAAGCACTTAGTGACCACTACTAACAAAATGCAGGTCAGCCAGTTAACAGAGATTTAGATTAAAAAAAGGTCTTTGAGTTACCATGCAATATTTGTTTCAGACAGTGTGAGAACTCAATCATGAATAGCAGGAATTGAAACAGTGAAAGGAAGACACAAAAGAGTGAGTTAATGTTCCATGAACTAGTTTATTATTAGCCACAAAACAAGCCAGCAGTAATAAGCTTTGGACAAAAACAAACAGTTCTACATTTTTAGAATCTAAATTACCTCTAATTGGACAAAAGGCTATACTGACCCTAAAACAATGGCACACACAATAATAATTTCTCACCACTCTTATTGGGCTCTTCTTGCATAAATTTTCTGTTTAAAACACAGCATCATGTAGCTAGCACTAGTTCTTGTTTCTCAGTTTAAGCACCCTCAGTATGTTGGAACAGCTGAAAAGTATGTCACGTGGCAGAACTCACACCCTTCTGATGACTCAGGTGAGAAATAATTTTCTATATGAACTAATGCATCTAGGATCTGACCAGGAAGTTCAGAAATCCATTTCTGGTAAAGTGACAGCTAGATCAATCAGTCACTCCACGACCAGTTCCAGTGGGAACAGACTGAGGGTAAAAACAAGGAGGAATTCGAGGGCAGCGATACATCACAAATATAAATTCTGCCTTTGAAACTAATGCTGACAGTGACAAAAGATATTGCTTTTCACCTTTCTCCAAAAGAGAAGTGTCCTCCAGAGGCACCAGAGATGCAAGGTGTTTGGGAACTGACTGCAGGAGGTGGAGGCATTACATGTTTCTCATTCTGCCATTATTGACAGCCTGGATAGAGAAAGCAGGTAAGCAGGTACTTGTTCTGCTACGGGCCCTGATAGCTTCCACTTGCTGGGATGTCATGGTGAGGTGGAGGCAGTTAAGACCATTCTAGACACAGAGTGACTTGGGATCAATGTTGAAGAAAAAACAGTGTGGTTTTCAGGTACTTCTGCACTAATTGCTTTCTTCACATTCAGGTGCACCCAAGGATCACAAGCGCTGCACAGACACTGAGGAAAATGTCTTTAAATAGTGAGCAAAATGCACAATTTTCAGCATCCTTTCACACCAAAAATGAGTACTTCCACAGTGTTGACAAGGACCATATTCTCTTCACAGCTACAAACGGTGCATGGCTTCACACTTTAGGTGCCAGCAGTTTTTCAACACACACTTTACTTAAATAAGTACTTTTAAAGCCCTCTAAGACCCTCAGATAGAAAATACAAGTGCATGTGCACTGCAACTCAGATATTCACTGCACTCTGTGTACAGACACTGAACTACTTCACCTGAGACAACATGGGAATTAACCACTGAGGACAGGTAGAGCTGGGCACTGTATGTTGAAGCCAACATTATCACATCCACACTGCCATTTGAATTGAATCCAAAAGTGTGCTAGCTTCCACCTAGCACATATTTAGAACCTAGAATTAGACCTGCAGGTCACTATGTAAATGTGACAGTAAGTGCTGTGCATTATTTAGTTTGATGCTATTCACTCTCCTTCTTCATTAACTCCAACATAACCTACTTTCTAAATATATTTCAGATTAAAAGCTGTAAGTCTGAACCAGCGGTTTTCCAGCAATGGGTTACAAGCTTCTTCTTCTTGACAATTGTTTCAAATATTTCTTAGCAGGCACCAACGTTGAACAGAGTACATTTCTGTCTGTATTGTTACAGTCTATTTTTAGAGTTGCAGAAATGTACCCAAACAGCCACTGGTTTAGAACTAAAAGCAGTTAGATCTCTCTCTTTTTCCTTTCCGCAAACCCTTATTTGATATCTAGGAAAAACTCTCAGTCATATGCCGAAGTTAAAGATGATTTTGACAGCCAAAAATAGGATTAAGAAAAAAGATGAAGTTTGAATGAATCTAAGCCAAGACTAAAAACTTCTGAAGTCAGAAATATTAATCTTTAATGTAGATATAAGTCCATTTTAGTACACCACTGTATAATTTATAAATCCTCTCTGTGCTTAAGAGTTAATTGGTGTATCCTTTACGTCCAAGTATTTACAATAGGACTCTGTAATTGAGAAAATCAATTTGATTGGTTTTTCTGTCTTCTAGGTTGTACACACTTTGAGAGAAAACAGGAGTGACATACATCTTGTCGAAGGACAGAGAACCTCATTTTTCTAGGGGAATGTAGGAGGAATCTAGTGCAAGAGCTGCTGCCAATTTCATGGGGACACAAGTGGAACTTGCTGTACCCATGAAATAGCTAGCAAACCTAGAAAAATCCTGTAAACTTCTAGAATATTGCTCTAAGATTAACATTACTAAGTTCAGCAGGTCAGATATACCTGGGAAAAGACACATGCACTAACATGTGACTTAAGCTCTCGTCTTGCTCAGAGAAGCTGTGGAAGCTCCATCCTTGGAAGGGTTCAAGGCCAGGCTGGATGGGGCTCTGAGCAGTCTGGTCTAGTGAAAGGTGTCCCTGCCCATGGCAGGGGCTGGAACTAGATGATCTTTAGGGTCCCTTCCAACCCAAACAATTCTACAATTCCAGAGCTGGAATAATAAACCTCATGCGCAAATTTCACTCCTAAACTGATATTGCAAAGGCAAAGAACCCCCCAACTTCCACACCAAAAAACCACAGAAAAATGAATGGAGAATATCAACTAGCTTATACAGCTGCCCAAAACTCCTCCTCAAACAGTTGCAACACCTTATTCAGATTCCAACACGGTGGCTGATTACTTTCTGTCCTTCTTTCTAAGGGTACTACTTACACTTTTTTTTTTCATGTATGGGTTTTAGGGTGTAAAAATAAACTAACATGTAGCTTGATGTACTGCCGCCTTATAGTTCCTTCCAAAACCCCCAAATAGTCTAGAAACAATTGGAAGAAACCAGAGTTTCGTAGAGGGTATTTGACTATCCTCTTTAAGTTTTATTATCTTTAAATTTAAAAAAAAAAAAGTGAACAGTCAAACTGTGTTAGCATTGGGGAAACATTTATCTGTTATGCAATTAAAGTAAACTCAAGAAAACTGTTTCCAGAAAGACAGCCCAATTTTTGTGATAGCGCAAGTAAAGCCTCTGCTCAGTTTTACTTGCAGGTGTCAAAGAGAGAAATCAAAACTAAAATTCCTCCTGTGCTCTGGTTTAGAGGAAAGAATAAATCCCAAGGCTCTACAGGGCTGTGCTCCCAGAATGTTTTCTCTTAGGATTGTTTTGTTCCAGCTCCCGGACTCAACAGTCCCCAGAGCCAAGGGTGGAGTGCTGTGAGTCACACCTGCTCCAGCAAGGACAGCAATTACACCATCCCTGCTCTGTGGGACTGAGCAGCTTCTCAAGATCCACATGTGGATCCCAGTGTGGATTTACAGGAAGTCACAGCAGGAAGTATCAGCTTTCCTTCTTTCAGTTGTCTTTACAGACTGCATGGAATCCCTTCAGTGTCTACTTGGTTGCAATTTTTAGGGGTAGTATTACTCTCCTGTTCCCCAGACACTAAATTATTGGCCTGCCAAAGAAAACAAGCTATTCCCATCATTAAAGGAAGTAAAAAATCCACTAACAACAAACATTCTTGTTCTTATTCATAAAACCAGAACAAATAAAACCAGATGAGGCATTCTAGCTGTCTGAGCAAAACGAGCTCTCGTATGATTGAATCAAAAGTGGAGGAGTACGACAGTGATGTTGCAGCAGTATTCTTCTGATGCCTTTAAAGGCCTAAACCCCCCCGAAGGGGCAGAAAAACTGCACTTTTCATGAGAAGCAACATGTGCTTCCCATCAGACTTGGTTCTTACACCTCATTTTCCTGTGGATGCCACAGCTGACTTATTTATGGATGCAGTTAAACATTCAGAGTATCCACCTGATTCTAATATTTTGTAATAGAACACCACTTGGCATTTACTTTGGCACAGGGATCCCAAACAAACCATTTTTATGAATTCTTTGTAATATTTTTCTTAAATGTCATAGAGTTCATCTGTCATTCAAGGAAAAAAAAAAAAGTCAATGCAGGTCTCATGCTTCTCAGATTTTGCTTTTCATCTATTCAACTGGTAGAGCTTTACCAGAGAGCAGGGCAGGATGGATACTATCGTGTTGAAAAGAAAGGCAACTTGAAACAAGACAAATGGAAAATCTGGAGAGGTATCAAGCATGAATGAACAAGGGAGTCAGATGGATTTTTCTTCAGAGAAGTACTACTGGCACAGAAAACACCTGAAAAATCTCATCATGATCATCACTAGTTATAATCATCTCATAGGCAACAGTATTTATCTTCTTAAATAACATGAACATAATGTGATTCTACCACTGCTTTTGAAGTGGTGTATATATATGTTGTGTGTGTGTATGATACACTAAACTTTCTTTTTGCATATAAATATTTTCCTGAAAGGTTAAGTGAGTAGTTGTAACCACATTGCCTTGTGCTAGCAGAAACATTTAAAAGGAAGGACAAATAAAGCACATTACTAAAAATTGCAGCTAATAGGTAAGGAACACTGAAAATTTGCTACATGGATAGAGCATCATGTCAGTGTTACCCACAAAACCATCAAATCTAATTTGAAATCTAATTCCTGTTCTCTAGAAAAATCCATAGATTCTAGTTGTTTAGTTGCGTCCTCACTAGCTAAACTGTAAGAAGCTCCTTCCGCATTCTAGTCCAACTTCTCTTTGTTAAGAATAACGGGTAAAACCAAGTGAGGAAAAATGTTTCTATGTAGTCTAATACTCAGTTTGTTTTAACATAGTAACATGTAATGACCCAATGTAATACCCCAAACCTTGCCGCTCCAAAGACAAGCAACAATGTGATTTGTATCAATGTGTTTTGTCAAAAGTATCAGTATAAGCAGGTAAAAAACCTACTGAAATTGAAATCTATTTCAGCCATAGTGCTCACCACAAAATATTTCACTTAGGTGATCTACAGGAGGCCACAAAACAAAGTTAAAAGTAGAGCTTCAGGTTGGGTAGCTGCATCTTCTTTTATACACCATTGCTGTCACTTACACAGTTCCCTGGCACATGATGCTAAAGGAGTATTTACATAGCACAGTGCAGTTTTCTGCAGTGCTTGTTAGGTTTTGCGAAGTGATATTTTGCCAGAGAGAATGTAGCACTTCTAGGTCTTGGGATGATACTCTGCAGAACACACACCTTGGTTATGGGCAGCTATTCAGCACCAGTCATGACAAGACTAGCTCCCTAAAGTTGCCATCAAATTATATTTACAGTATAATTCATGCCATGTTTTGCACTTGTCTTGCATTGGCCCAGGATTTCCAGGGAGCTGCTGTACCTTATTGTTGTTCCCTGTAGTCGATCAATTTTCTTGTTCAGTTCAGCAATGATACTGTGCAGCTCAGTGATTCGTTCCTCGTAGCGCAGCGTTGTTCGCTCCTGCACATCTTCGTGCTCTCTCATCAGGTGGGATTGCTCACACTAAAGCAGAGAAACCAGAAACAGAAAGGGTGTTATGGATAACTGCATGGAGATCAGATACAAGGCAAAAGTGCATAGCACTATGGTTTTCTTACTCATCCTCAGCAAGCAAAAACGAGAGAGACAAAATATTGACAGGTATATAAAGGTATGTAATTAAAGATTTTAGGAAGTGACAGAGTATGCTGTGTACTTTTATTATTTGTTTTCTAAAGGGCAGAAGTTGCCCCTCCTGCTTGAATAAAAAACGCCATTTGCAACTTAAAATATCTACAAATATTAATCTTTGAATCCAAGAGATTCATGGCACACTGTGAATCTTCAAGGATCTTCCCAACGTGCTCCGAATTAGAACAATTCCTATGGCAAAATCCACATCATTAAGTGTGAAATATAGAAAAGTAATTACACTTTGAGGTTATAAGTTCTTTTCAAGTATTAGTATTTGGTTTTAATTAAACTTAAGAGATGATATAGTATATTTTATTATGTTAGTAGTCTACAATAAAATGTTATGATTAGAACAATTAAAAGCTGCTTGTTTTTTATACATATCACAAAATCATCCTTCTTTCCCGTAGAATTTTAAATCTAGCCTCTTTGGCTTACACTTCTAACCATCACTCTATTTCAATTACAGCAAACAATTACAATCTACTGCAACTACCAATCAGCAGTGCAGGTTGACTAAAGTTATGCTTGGTAGTGGCTGGAAAGAGTAAGACTTCTAACTTTTTCCATCTGATGTCCCCCTTCATTCAAGCCTCCTTGCAACCACCCAATGGTTTGACAGTATACATACTATGCTGTCAAAAAAGAAAATTCACAATCAACTGACGGTATAAAACCCTATAGTCCTTAACTGAAGATCTGCAAAATAAAATCCTAGTAGCACTTCTAAAGATTACAGTTTATAATAATATTGGAAGTCCTCCAACATTGCTCCATCAAAAGCTTTTTTCAAATCAAGTAAACACTCCATAGAGAGTTAACTTCCTAAACCCTTTGTATCATAAATACGACATATTGAAAGTAGCAGGTGTGGTAGAATTTTCATAGTTTGCTCTCATATTTTTTGGCCACTTACATCCATAGCTTGAGAACATCACCTACATAAAAGGCTGACTGAAAACTAAGATTTACACTGACTTTCAATAACATTTTTATTTTAAATTTTAAATACAATGTGTTCCATGATTTTTAGGTTTCATGACCATGTACACTGAAAAGTAGCCCAGACACTAAAGGACCCTTCCATAGACTACAACAAAATAGTTTCTTACTCCAGCTGCAGTCAAAAGCACTTTTGCCTATACTAAGAGAAACGGATCATGTCATCACACTGAAAAGGAGAGTGAACGACACAGTTTAGAAGACTGAAAATATTCACCTAATTTCTAAGACTTTATGTTGGCAACTGATATTCTTATAGATGTATATTATAGTGACTTTATTGTAGAAACATTCCACAACTTATTTCTCACATTTTTGGTTTTTAACATCATATCTGTCTGAAGAACTACCAGGGCCTTCAGAGTGCAGAAGTAACACAGAGAAAACATTTCACAAAAGCTTTAGAGCTGATTTAGGGGCAATAAATAAAAATCTAAATTTCCTCTGACACATATACGTCCACAAATGGTACCTAAGCATTAACCATATCCATCAGTTACATCCACTGGAGTTTTTTTTTTCCTTTTAAACCAAAGAGATGATTTCAGATGGAGTGTATAATAACTGTTTTCTGACAATAAATAAAAACCCTATCACAACAATTTTTGTCTCTCTAAGCTACGCACTGAAAAGCAGAATTTGTTTATCTTGACTGAAGATATACGGACTCTCGCTAATGGATCTCAGACACATTACCAGACTTGCTTTCTGTTTTCTCCAGCCATTTCTCAGCCAACATTTTTCAGGACAACCATCATTTAGTGACAGATGTACTTCGTGAACAACCAGCAGTCTGGTAATATAAGACAATAGCTTCACATTTGATTTTTTAAAGCGCTCTTGAATTATCTTAGGCAAAAGCAACTGAAAAGAGCTGAAAAGAAATCTCTGTGAAAGATAGGTCATGATGCTAACTAAGAACTGCTCTGTCTTGGAGGTGGGCACAGAATTACATCTCCAAAATTCTGGTCATCCATGACAAGCCTCAACTGAAAAAAGCAAAAGCATCTGAACAATGAACATAGTTCAGTATGGATCCCAAAATGCAGCCATGGAAAACTCTTTTTAGTTATACAGTACTGCTCTTTATTACAGAACATTCATCTCAAAAAAGAAACAAATGCATCTTTTGGTACTAACTGCTGAAGTTTTTCTCTGGGATATTGCAACTATTCATCACCCTCCTTAGCTTCTTTGTTCTTTGAGTCTCAGAACACAATAATCTGCCACCAGTTTTTATTTCTTTCCAAGGTGTACAATATAAATTAACAGCGGATGGAAACACCATTGTCTGAACTCTTGATGGTGAGAAAAAACCACAAGAGCAAGAAAATTATGAGGGAGAAGCACGGTAAGAGAAAATAATTTAACTCAAGCTTATTGTCTCAATATGTGATTCTTCTGCCTATTAATGTACAAAAATTCCTAGTGAAGAAACACTAACAATGCATTAAATTATGTTCACTTTTATGTTAAATTTGCAGTGTTCAGTCAGAGGACAAAAAAAAAGAACCACCAGCAACAGCACTCATTAAGAGATGCCCCAGTGCCTCAGGCCCTGCAGAGACAAACACTGGCTATGGTGTTGTTCACCAGAATACAAGTCATTACTTGAACAAGCTACAGTGACAAACCTGTCTAACAGGATTACAGAACTAAAAATCTTTGCTCAACTAACATCGTATTTTAATTTAAGAGGAGTGGTAGATTTTAAATGGCAATCCATTAATCTGAATTTAGGTGTAAACACAAGTCTATGGTGCTAAATCCTCAATCATGACAACATGGATAGTCAGAATTAATTGTTTTGTTGTATATTTTGTGCATATTTGATGTGCAAGGTGAATACAAGTACACAGAATTAATCCACGTCAGATAAGGACATCACACAACAGAACAAGTAATTTCAATGTTCATCTGAACACCACTCACTTCTATTTCAAGTTAACTTTGTTACATAAGAACTGAAGCCTTCCTGTGAAGTTCACATGTTCTTACATGTCTGCAGAGACTGTTGTTTATGTTCTTATATACCTACAGTGTTGCTTTAATTCTTACATTGAAATTCTGCTGTCCCTCCCTATATTCTGAATAACGAAGAGGATGGTAAAGAATTATCACTGCAGTAATGGGACCTGCTGCTTTGTGATATAGGGTCCAGAATGGTACAGAACAGTCTTTGTTACCCTGTGCTAGAGCTATCATAAAAAATCAAAATTACAACTAAGAACAAAAAATGAGGGAATAGGAGCACCTTGTGAAAAGAGATGAAATTATAAGAAAGATGTAGTAAGTGAATTGTCTATCCTTAGTGTATTCCATGTTATTTGTGTTTACCATGCTATTAAATCCCACGTTCTATCCAAAAACTACAGAGCTCAATGTCACAGGATATAGGAAATGCCAAGAAAGTAGATGGATTAGAAAGCAGATTATACAAGTCTACAGAGGATAGAACATAAAGGACTACAAAATGCGATGTTGCCTCCTGCTCACAGATGTTGGCAGAAAGGTGGGGGAGTGTGAAGGAGGACAACTCTATGCATTTCTTATGCTCTCCATTCAGACATCCCCTGTTTATCACTATCAAAGCCAGGACAACACGCCAGGCTGAGCTATCAGAAAGCACTACAATTCTCATAACCACTGAAAGATTTTTGGAAGAAGACATTAGTTGAGATTGACCGGTGCTTTATAGAAAATTTCATTTAATAGATCACCCTGTTGCCAAAGTGCACACTGACAAAAATGCAAGAGACAAAGAAATCTGCTGTGTTACTAAAATAGTAGAGGCATGTAGAGAAACATTATAGCAGGTCTCTACAGACTGTAGATTTGGAAGCAAGTATGCTACAACCACCCATAATTATTACATCACTTTACAAAATTTTAAGCCCAGGCTATCCAACTGTCTTTCTTCATCATTTGTCATTGATTACTTGAATTGTGGTTCCCCAAATCAGCTCCACTCTGTAAATCATTAATCCTTTCTTCAAAATGCTTCCCATGCCTTATGAAATGATGGGAAAGGTATTATCAAAAATGCGATTTAAGAGCTATTTTTTCCAGAGAGCATTTACCATGCCAGCTGAAATGAAACATGTGCTGGCCCTTGTAAGTATAATCCAGATGCAGAATAGAGATTTAATACTGACCCACTAACATCTGAGTATGGTTATGCAGAAACTCAAACACCTTCTATTTAATTCATGCCTTCTGAACCTCTGATTCACATTAGACAGAGGCTGTAGAGGAAAAAATTGTATGATACAATATGAATTTGAATGAATCTCTGTGGAGTGGGACAAAAAGTTCAAAAATTTATGTTAAGTGACATAGCTACTTGGAAGTGATGCAGTTAGAAAAAGAAGAAAAGATGCAGTAGTTTCACCAGTGTTAGCCTCAGTACTTAAACACAGCCAACACACTGAATATAAGAGTTGTGCTTCTTTAATGGCTTTTGTGTATTTTATTTAATACACACTCTAAAAAAATTCTATCCAGTTGAGGGCATTTAAAAAAAAAATAAACTGAAAAGACATAAGACATTAAAACTTTATAGAAACTTCTCATTAAAAGGTAATTTTTTATCTGACACATAGCTAGCAAGCTAGATTCCACGTATGTCAGTTTTGTGAAAGGTGGCAGGCGTCACTAGGCTTGTGTTCACAAGCACATCTCAACCTCATGTAAAAACCCTCAGCATGAAAAAGTGAGTGCTATATACACATGCATAATTGATAACCCATCAAAGAAAACACCAAACTTTTGCTAACAGAGAACATATTATTTGAGATTAAGGACTGATCCTTAATCCCAGTTACCATCAATGTGGATTCAGTACTGAATGGGAGCACCTACAAGGCTCTCTTCACTAGCTGAGAGATAGTACATGTGTTTTTAAACAAAAATTTGGAAAATTAAAGTAAAACACTGACAAAAACCTGTGGTTAGCACATATAAATAATCACAAAGTCAATGTGATCATGCAGAATGATGTGGATCATTTGGATACAGTGAATCATTCTGACAGTTTAATGATAGTTAAATGCAGCCTCATATCAAATTGTAAGCCAGAGGGAGGATTCTATCTGAGGAATGCCACAGAAATTAAAAAAGGCTCTCAGGATTGATACTGCAATAACAGTATCACTTACAAGCCCGTAAACCTTTAAGTTAGCTGAAAAAAACCATTAGGGAATGCAAGCAAAGGCCAAAATAAGAGAGGACTAAAGTAAAAGCCTAAATATCATGACTGCTTAAACATTTCTACATTTGGCTTGAGTTTCAGTAACACAGATACCAGGCCTTTCCAAAATGCACTGAATACTGAAGACACTAAATCTGCAAAATTGCAGAATGGCTGAGGCTGACAGGGACCACTGGAGGTCATTCACCCAAGCGCTCACCCAACCCACCAGCTCCAGGTGGATTGAGTACTTTCAAGGCTGGAGA